CACTGTACCTTTCTTAGCTGACTTCTTGCAAGGGGCTCCCTGCAGACTTTGCCAACCGAGGCAGAAGTGTGGCCCATTTGACGCATTTCCTGAAAGCCCAGCCTCCTGGTACAGACAATGACTGCGTGGTTTTTCTGAATGAAGAGAACAGTGAACTTTCTGGGAATTTCTCACCTTACTATTTTTTATTTATTTATCTTTTAAAGATGAGATCTCACTGTGTAGTTCATACTGGCCTTAAGTTCATTATGTAGCACAGGCTGGCCTTGAACTTGATCCCCTTGCCTCGGTTTCCACGTGCTAGGATTACAGTGTGCACCACCATGCCTGTCTTAATTCCTCATTGTAAACAGTAGGAATGATGGTGGCACACGGAGGGCTGAAGGTCACATTTAAAGCACCAAGCACATAGTAGGCGCTCAAAGAATGGTAGCTGCGGGTAACACAATTGAGGCCCAGGAGTGGAGAGTGGACACAGCTCAGCTGTTTTTAGTTCTCCAAGAGCCACCCCTATAGCCTGCAGCTAGGTCCTTTGATACCCAAAGGGCTGCAGGGAAGAGCCCAGCTGCACGTCCAGGCCCCCAGCAGGCTGGGTGGCCTACGGTGTGACTCAGCGCCCCTGTGTGGGCGGGAAGGCAGTGCACGTCCACCGGGATCTGCACGGCGAAACTTCTGGGGCTCCGGGGGCCCTGCTCCCTCCGCTCCGTCCACACCCGGGCAGCTGCATCCAACGGGACCCAAATGCTCATTTTGCTCCACTTGGGACAAACTCAAGTAGTTTTAGGCGGGGGAGACGGAAGGAGGAGGAAGACTGTGAGTCTTATAAAAAGCGAGTCCTGGGATCTGTTTCCACTTTAATCCGCCCTGCTCCTTGGTTTCATCCTGTCTGCAAACTCCACCGCCCCGGGAGAGGTGCCTGCGTGGGAACAGTGGTTTGCATTCATCCTGGCCCTGGGGTGGGGAGTGTGTGGGCGCCACCCATGTTCTGCACTGCTGACCGGAGTGGAGGAACCAACCGGCTGGGGGGGGGGGCAGGACGGAGGCCTGGGGTCTGACTTCCCTCCCTGTGGGGTACCCCCCACCGCCCCCAGCTGGGGTCGAGGCCCAGCTACCCGGTCCCCCTGGTAAAGCTCCCATGGCTGCTTGAATGGAGCACCCAAAGGGAAGACAAAGCAGGTGCGCTTTAGTGAGCATCTATTATTTGTGTTAGTGATGAGCTCTCATGGACTCATGGCATTTTTCTGTATGCCCATTTTATGGACTGGACAAAATCTCCCGGAGGCTGGGCCGTTGGCCTGAGAAAGAGCAGCTAGTAAGTAGCCAAACTGCACTGCTCTTAATTTTCCTAGCTGGTTCCTGCTTTTAAGGCTGTCAGCTGGCCCTGGGAACGAACATTGCTCATCAGCTGCCAGCTAAGGACCCTGTTTGTTGGGAGAACATTTAACTTCCCACCCTGCCCTGGTGAGACTGTGGCACCTGACTGGGTTCCAGTGAGAAACATTCCCTTCCCCTTAACTGCTTGCGCATCGGGATGACTTGGTTTGGTCTGCAGGTTGACTAACCAGGAGAGATGCTTTGGATTTTGCTCTACTGCACCCACCACTGTCCCTGGATGGGGTCCTTGACCCTGAAAATTGAGAACTTTTTTGGGACAAGGTCTCACTATGTAGTTCAGGCTGACCTTGAATTCTGTATGTGTGCCAGAATGGCCTTGAGCTTGTTGAGACCCTCCTGCCTCAGCCTCCTTCCTGAGTGCTAGAATTATGGGTATGTGCTACCACACCCAGCTAAAGCAGCTGCTGACCAACACTTTTCCAGTACAAGGGGCCAGTGTTGAGGACAGAAAGTCACACATTTTCTCTGGAGCCTCCCTTGGATCCCTCTTCTCCTTCCCCGAGGGTTCATGAGGGAACAAGATCACTCTTCCTGGGCTCCTAATCACTGTGTGACTCTGGGCACTAACAGGTGCCCTCAGGGCCTCGTGTCCTCTGCAGGGCCAGCAAGTCCTGTTCAGCCCCATGATGCTGCAGGGAACAGTTGCTGTGGCTCCTACTTGAGTCATAGTCCTCCCTGTCCCCCAGAGCTCCCAGGGCAGCAGTCTGGTGAAGAGCAGCAGACCAGGGGGTGGCCTTTGAGTAGTGGGGGGCAAGTGGGAGGCTGCAAATGTGTCATCACCTCTGCCACGCCTTTGGAAGGGGGCTTTATTTTTATGTTTGTTCGTTTATTTATTTTTTATTTTTTGGTACCAGGGGTTGAACTCATGATCTAGCACTTGCCAGGCAGGCACTTACACCACTGAGCTAAATCCCCGGCCCAATATTTATGTTTCACTGAACAGTTTGCTTATCTTATTCTTTCGATTTTCCACTACTCTTTTTTTTTTTTTTTTGTATGGAGAATTAAGCTTACAACCTTGCACTTGGCCAGGAAGGCACTTATCTGCAGAGCTAAATCCCCAGCCCCCTCCACAACTCTTTTTAAACAGCTTTCTGGACACAATTGAACATATTGTGTATGTTACACATTTAAAGCACATGGTTGATGAACTTTAAGGGGTATAAATATGCACAAAACTATCACCATAATTAAGGTAATGAGCATATATGTAACACTACAAAAAATTTCCTATTCTTTCTTCTAGTTCTAGCATTTTTTAAATGTGTTTGAAATTCTGTTAAGCACAGTAGGTATATTTATGATTGCTATGTTTCCCTGCACTTTTAAAAAAATTTTTTTTGGTCTTTTTGAAACAGGGTCTCACTGTGCAGTTCAGGCTGGCCTTGCGCTCACTTTGTAGCTCAGGTTGGTCTCAAATTCACAACGATCCTCCTGCCTCAGCCTCCTGAGTGCTGGGGTTACAACAGGCATGTGTCACCATGCCTAGCATTCCTTGTGCATTTTAATTTTTGTTAGCTGTAATTTGTAGAGTGAGCTGGAGTCTCAGTGTTGTATTAATTTGCATTTCTCAAATGATCAGAGATGTGGAACACTTTTTCATGTATTAGCCATCTGTACTTCTCTTTTCTCTCTTTTTTTGGAGGGGTTACCAGGAATAGAACTCAGGGCCTCATGCTTGCCAGAGAGGCTCTGCACCACTGAACTAAATCCCCAGCCCTGCCTTTCTCTTTTCTGAGAAGTGTCTATTCATTCCAGTTGCCCTTTTTCCAGGAGGGGGGTTTGAGACAGGATCTCACTATGTAGCCCAGGCTGACATTAACTCGCAATCATACTGATGCCTCAACTTCCCAAGCGCTGGGATTACAGGTGTATGCCACCATGCTACGCAGCTGGGGCTGGCTTTGAGCTCACTTTGTAGCCCAGGCTAATCCTCCTGCCTCAGCCTCCAAGTGCTAGGATTACATGCGTGCCCCACCACAGCCCACTTTCTTTTTTTCATTTATTAATTAAATTTATTGATACATTGTAGGTATAGATAATGATCACATTCATTATAGGGAATTTGTTCCTGTACATGATATAACTTGATTCTCCCCCCTCCATTTTCCTACCAACCCTGCGTTTTATTTCGACTTTTTCTCATCATTTTTTTTTTCTTTACAGTTGCCCATTTTTTGACTCTGTGTGTGTGTGTGTATGTGTGTGTGTGTGTGTGTGTGTGTGTGTGTGTGTCACACTCACTACGTGATTTTCCAGCTCAGCCTCCGGAGTAGTTGGGACTAAGGGCGTGGCGCATACCTAGCTCAGAGTTGAGTTTGGATAGGGGCGGATCAATGGCCTTCAGGGCCAGGGGGAAGATGAGCCGGGGGAGGAGGGAAAAGTGATTGGGAGCTTGACCCCACCCAGGAAATGGGACTAACCGGGCAGCACGGGGCAAGCCGGGCTGCAGAGGAGCTGGCCGGGGCTGGTGAGTGGGGAACAGGGCTTTCCTTGCTGGTCCCACGCTGGGAGATGCCTCCCAGCGCCTGCCTCTGCCGAGGCCACTGTGACCAGCCTGGGACCTGTGGCCTCCCGGGCGCTCCGGACAAGCTGGGCTGGCAGCACTCGCGGCGGGGTCTCGGTGCCCGGGCTCCGTGGAGGCCGCCAGCGCCCGGCACCGCCTCTCTTTCCGGGTGGGGCCGCCGGGTGGGGCCGCTGGGTCAGGAAGTGAGGAGCGAGCGAGGCTACGAGCCCGAGAAGCTGAGCGGAGGAAGAGGTGTGCAGAGGTGACAGGGGAGCAGCCCCTGGGAGGGGGCTGGCGGAGACCCCCTCGGGTGGATGGAGGAGGAGGAGGAGGGCTGCCCGCCACGCCTGGGAACAGAGCCAGGGCTTGTGACCTGAGGTCTCATCTGGCTCCAGATGCCTCGGTGACCGCAGCCTTGCAGCTGCCTGGAGGCCGAGTGGGTCCCAGCCAGATTCCAGGACATTGGATGGCCTAGGGGCTAGGGGCGTAGGTGCTGGACCTGTTGTTGGGACTCCTGAAGATCTTCAGCCTGCCAGCCCGCCTGGAGGTGAACTCAGGCCGGACTTGGGGGTGCTTGTGGGGAGACTGGATAACAGGGATGGCCGGGATAGGGGGAAGGCAGGGCCAGCCATAGGCATTTTTTTTTTTTTTTTCTTTGAGACAGGGTCTCCCTATGTAGCCTAGGCTGGCCTCCTGCTCATATAGATCCACCTCCCCAGTTATGCAATTGCAGGGGGTGTGGTTCCATTCTGTGCTCCTTAGGGCCCTCTGGGTTCAAAGGCAGGTGGTGCCCTCCTAATCCCAGCTGCCAAAAGGCTGTCCATGTGGGGAGCAGTGGAGGCGCCCTCTCTGTCAGGCCTGCAATCTCCCCGCCCCCCAGAAGCTTCCTCAGGCCGGGAAGAGCACTGAGGTTTCTGGTGTGCACCCGTGTCTCTCTCCTCCCAGCGTGTCCTCAAGGGTGACTAAGTCAGGGCTGTGGACAACCAGCAGACCCCTCCCCACAATGCCCTGCTGAGACCCCAGCAGTCTGCTCTCTGCCTGCCTGGGGCCCCAGAGTAGAAAAAAACAAGATCTTTCTGTGGCAGCAGCGCAGGAGATAAAGGAGAGGCTGGGTTGAGTTGCAGCCCACTGGGAGAGAGCTTGCCCAGTATGTGCAGTGCAAGGTTCTGGATTCAAACTGGGACGTCAGGGTTGTGGGCAGAGGCAGGCCTGGTGAAGTGCAGAGTACCCGGTCAAGAAGAGGACGGTGAGAGGCACTTAGAGGTTTCCACACCGTGTGTGTGGGCCAGTGTTGGAAGGCGGCGTGGAGCGGAACTGAACTAGACAGCCACTAAGCCCTGGCCACTGCTGACCTCAGAGGCTGACACTCCCTGCCAAGGGGAAGTTTGTCTGTGGCTTTCCTGGGGAGCACAGCTCCCCACTGTGCTGCACCTTCTGCTCAGCACAGGACCCCGGCTGTTCCTTCTCATCCCGGCCCAGGGCTGAGCCCCCAGCAGAGACCAGGACAGAGTGACCAGACTGTGGCAGGCCGCTTGAAGAGTGCACAGGGGCTTCTGGTGCCCTTGCTCTGGTGAGAGGCTGGGCAGACTCCCCTCCTTGCCCCCATGGTCTTGGTCATTCCTGGGACAACTGGGCTGCAGGGTTGGGGACTGATGTCTGCAAGGCTGGAGGTGACAGTGAGGACGCTGAGGAGAAAAGGGTACTGGATCAGTCAGAGGGAACTTCTCCAGGGGAGTTGGGACAGGGTTGATGTACAGGGGGTCTGAGGGGACAGCCGGATGCTCCACCTGAGCGGGACTCAGGCTCCATCCTTGGGGCTGTGTTTAGCTGGCCCAGCATGGGGTCCAGACATGGGCAGTTTAAAAAGCTCCCTATGAATCCAGTATTCCAAGCATGGGACCCTGCTGGACAGAGTCCACCTACAGAATCAGCATCGCTAAAACATTCATAACGTGGATGAGCTGGGCGTGGTGGCACATGCCTGTGTTCCCAGCACTCCAGAGGCTGAGGCAGGAAGATAGCTGCAAGGTTAAGACCAGTGTAGTCTACATAGTAAGTTTGAGGCCAGGTGGAGCTACATAGTGAGACTCTTGTCTTGGAAAGAAGAAAAAAACAAAATATATGGCTGCTAAGCTCCATTTCTGACTTTTGGAACCAGATCCCTGGCCTGGGGTGTGGGCACCTTAAGGAGAAACTTACTAAGGAGTACTTGTTACACAGCAAGGTAAGGAGGACATGATCACAACGATCACCATAGGTGTGGGGACCACAGTAACAGGGAGAGATTGAACCCAACTCCAAGTGTGGCTTGGGCCAGCAGGAATTTATAGCCAAGAAACAGTGAGGAAAGGAAAATCCCTGAAAGGAAATGAGGTGGGAGGAAGGTTCTGTTCAAGCAGATCTAACAGGATTCTTCAGACAGTGGTGTGGTGGTGGTTGAGACAGGGTCTGCTATGCATATCAGTCTGGCTTTGCACAGACTAGCCCAGGCTGGCCTCAAATTTGCAGTGATCATCCTTCCTGAGCCTCCCAAGTGCTGGGAATCACAGGCATGTGTCACCACACCCAGCTAGCGTGTACATTTTATACAGTTTTGAGGTAATGGTAAGGGGCAGCCAGGGTAAGGAAGGGAAGGGACAGGCAGCCCGGGAACCCTTCCTGTTCACCCTGCTGTGGCTGGGTAAGGGGTGTTACAGCCGCAAGGTGTTACACATTTAACTGTGCTAAGCTATAGCTGAGTATAGCTGGAGATCTCGGTTCAGTAACAGAAGCAAACTGGTAACGCCTGCAGTTTCCTGGCTCCACGTCCTTTCCGAGCTGTGAGCGGGGCATGGGCTGGAGCAGCTACCCCACCGCAGACCTGAGTCACTGGCTGGGATGTGGGCGCAGCGCGAGGCACTGTGGGACCGGAAGCGCCGGCGCCCCGCCCTCTGGACCGGAAGTGCGATGGATAGCTTTGCCATCCCTCCTTCCTCCCGCTCCTGCCTGCCCTCCGTTTCCTCCTCAGGCTTTACTGTTTCTTTTTCCTTGCTTTGTGGTGCTGGGTCATACTTAACCACAGCTCTCACAGCCATCCTCAGGCGAGCCCAAACTTAGAAAATAAAACTGAGACGCCTGGGGGGGAAGAAAAGCCATCCTTCACAGTTTGCCCTGCTCCCGCTGGCAGCCTTAGACTGCAAGAATCTCCTAACGAGATGGGCCTGGTGGTGCACTCCTGTGATCCCAGCACTTGGGAGGCTGAGCAGGAGAATCATTTGCAAGTTCAAGACCAGCCTAGGGTACATAGTGAACCCAAGGCCAGCCTGAACTGCATAGTGAGGCACTATCTCAAAAAGACCAAAAAAAAAAAAAATCTCCCAATGGTTTCTGGTAGCTATCCCTCCATCAGTTTCCCAGACCCTAACACGGCTGTAATTGGGTGGTCTATAGTGTGCCTTGTGTTAAGAGCCCACAGGACTGGTGATAAAAATATATCAAAGTGCCAAGTAAAGCTGTACTGACTGCATTTTCTGAGTTTTTTTTTCTTCTTTCATCTTTTTTAGATAGTGTCTTGCTTCATCACTCAGGTTGACTATGAATGCGCCATATAGGCTAGGCTGGCTTCATCCCTATAATCCTCCTGCCTCAACCTCAGGAATACTGGATTTGTAGGCGTGACCACTGTACCTGGCTATCTTTTGACTTTTTAAGAAGTTAATGTATTTTGTTTAAATGTTTGTTGTTTTATTTACTTTCTTGTTGGTAGGACAAAATACCTGACATCTACAAGTTAAAGAAGGAGAGGTTCATTTTGGCTCACAGTTTGTGGATATTTCTTTGTAATTGGCTGGCCCCAGGGCAGGGTGGCATGGTGGGAGGGCATGGCAGAGGAGAAACAGTCCATGGCATGGCAGGCAGGAAGCAGTGAGCCTTCCTTCTTCTTTCCCTTTTTATTCTATCCAGGCTGCAAGCCAGTTGGTTGTTGCCACTCATACCCAGGGTAGGACTTCTGCTCTTCCGTAAGTCTATCACTTACACCTTGAACTCTGCTAATACAAATAGTGGCTATTTGTTACCACACACCTCTGATCCAGTCACTCCCAAAAGCCCACCTATGAGCACTTTGAAGGGACCTGACAATACAATCCATGACATTTATCTTTAGCATTTTTCCTCACCCCAAAACCTCCTTTTGGGGGGGGTACTGGGATTGAACTCATGACCTCTCACTTGCCCGGCAAGTGCTTGTGCCATTGAGCTAAATCCGCAGCCCCACCCTAATATCTCTTGTCCTAAAAAAGTCATCTCCATTGACCTACAAAATAAAGATGGCTTTCCTTATCCATATTTAAGAGGGCTGTACACACAGAACTGATAGCTGAGTTCCCCAGGGAAAGTTTAGGATTGGAGCAGCTGTTAAGTCTAAGGTTAGCTGAAGACTTCAAGATTTCTTACTGGTAGATGCCTTTATCAGGTTAAAGATGTGTCTTTATATTCCTAGTTTGGTAAAAGGTTTTTAAAAATCAGCAATGCAGGGGGCTGGAGGTTTAGCTCAGCGGCATAAGCGCCTGCCTTGAAGCAGGCAGTTGTGAGTTCGATCCCTGGTACCGATAAAAAGGAAAAAGACCAAAAAAAAAAAAAAAAAATCAGCAGTGGATGCAGACTTTCGCTAAATGCTTTTGCTGCATCTTATTAGATTCACTCTAATAGGATGGTTTATATGTGTTGAGTTTCACATGTTAAACCAACCTTGCATTCCAGGGATAAGCCTCATTTCATTATGGTATTTTTAAAAACATTGAATTCCACTCTTTAGAATTTTGTTCTGTTTTTTGTTTTTTTGAGACAAGATCTTGCTATGTAGTCCAGGCTGGCCTTCAACTCTAGGTGATCCTCCTGCCTTGGTCTCTTGAGTAATGGGATTACAGGTGTACACCACCATGCCTGGCCTTTTTTGTTATTGTTTCTATGTTTATGAGAGATATGGAGCTGTAATTTTCTTTTATATTTATCTGAGTTGTTATCAGGATAATGCTTATAGCATAGGATGAATTTTGTCTTCCCTTTTTTTTTTTTTTACCGGTACCAGGGATCGAAATCACGACCACGCGCTTTCAAGACAGGTGCTTATGCCGCTGAGCTAAATCCTTAGCCCTGTGAATTTTGTCTTTCATATTCTAAATGAGTTTGCATAGAATTGGAATATCTTCCTTACATCTTTTTGGTAGAATTTATCAGTGAAGTCCTGAAGGCTTGGATTTTATAGGAGGTTGTGAAATTCAAGCTGAGCATGGTAACACATACCTGTAATCCCATCATTTGGGAGGCTGAAGCAGGAAAATCACTGTGAATTTGAGGCAAGCCTGGGCTCCATAGTGAGTTTGAGGCCAGCCTTAGCTATATAGCAAGATCTTGCCATAAAAAACAAACAGAAAAATTGCAAATTTAATTTTTTTGAGAAAAAAAATTTTTTTTTCAAGAGATAGGACCATTCAGGTATAGCAGTGAGAGGAATTTTCTTCTCCCCAAGGTTTGATATTTAAGTGCATAAAACATGTGGACAGTAGAGAGGTTTGCAGAAGGAAAGGTGCACACATCATTCTGACCTTGAGTTCTGGGGAGGTGGGTGCAGTCCTGGGAGCTTCGGGATGAAACACTTAAAAGACACCACGCCCTGTGGCCCTGTAAATAAGGCCTCTTAGGAACAGCCAGGAAACCAGATGGCTGCTGTGGCCCAACCTCTCATCTAATCCTCTGTGTTCCAGGGGTCACAGGGAGAGGGCACAAGGACTGCATTCCTACTGGCACCAGATGAGGGAACTTCACAGACAGCCCTTCCCTGCACGGGGTGTGCTGTAGGAGGTCAGAAGGTTTCCACGAAGTTTCAGAATGCCCAAACCATACTTCCGGTGTTACTTCCTGAGCCCAAACACAAGTAATCCATTTCTTCCTTCTCCCCTCCCCCTCTTTCCTTTCCTCCTTCTCTTCCACCTCAAGAGTGCTAGGCCAGTGCTGCATCCCTGGATCTTTTTTCTTTGCTTTTGTTTTGGTGGGGAGTCAGTACTGGTGACTGAACCCAGGGTCTTCTACGTGCTAGAAAAGTGCTCTACCACTGAGCTACATCTGTAGCCCCCGCTGTTTATGTATGTGTGTATTTATTTATTTACTTATTTTTGAGACAGAATCTCACGAAATTGCCCAGCCTGGGCTTACACTTTCAAAAAGCTCCTCCTCGCTCAGCCTAGAATGCTGAGACTACAGATGTGAACCACTGCTCTTGGCTTGTTTTTTATTTTAGTATCTGTAGGCTCTGTAGTGATGTCACCTCTCTCATTTCTTTATTGGAAATTTTGATTTTTTTTCTATTTAGTTTGTCTAAAAGTTTATCATTTTTATTGATTTTTTTTTTAAAAAGATCAGTTTCAGTTCGAGGCCAGCCTGGACTACATATACTAACTCAAAAAGAAGAGTAACAAAAATGAGTTTCGTTGGGATCAGGGATTTAGCTCAGTGGCACAAGCGCCTGCTGGTGTGTGTGAGGTAGTGAGTTTGATTCCTGGTCTCCCTCCAAAATATCAGTTGTTATTTTTTATTACCATTTTTATCTATTGTTTTGTTTATAAATTGCTGCTTTTATTTTTGATTTAACTTTTTTTTTTATCAGTATTGGGATCAAACTCACAACTGTGCACTTACAAGGCAGGTGCTTATACTGCTAAGCTAAATCCCCAGCCCCGATTTAACTTCTTTAGTTATTATGGATTTTTTTATGGTGGACACTTATGTAATTATATTTTTTTATTTTATTTTTTGTCTTTTTCCTTTTTATCGGTACCGGGAATCGAACTCACGACTGCCTGCTTGCAAGGCAGGCGCTTATGCCGCTGAGCTAAACCCCCAGCCCCCAGTAATTATATTTTTTTAATTAAAAATTTGTTGTTGCTGTTGTTGGGTTGTTTTGAGATAGTGTCTTTCTATGCAGCCCAGGCTGGCCTCAAACTCACAGCAATCCTGCTTCAGTCTCCTGAGTCCTGGGATCCACCATACCCAGCCAAATCATGGGTTTTCACCTTTTCTGGTATAAGTGGTTACATGTTATATTTAGAGTGCTATGTATAGGCCTGGTTCAATACTCCAGGTTGGGAGTCCAAAGCAAAAGACAGGTACGGTGACAGGTGATGGCTCAGGGGACAGAGATCTGGTCTCCTGGAGCTGCTCCCCGTCCCAGAGCTGTGGGATCTTGGACTCGGGCTGTCTCAGCCATATGTCTTTGCTTGTGTAATGGAACCAAGTATATGCTCTTCTTGGGTCCGTGGTGAAGAGGTAGCTGGAGACTGTGAAGGGTGTTGGCCACCCTGACACTTGGGTGATGGTGGCTTCTGTCTTTCAGATCTGGACACAGCATGTACACACCCATCCCGCGCAGGTAGGCAGTGTACCCGCCCCTCCCCACCCCTTCCCGGGCTGCCCCAGCTGTGAGCCCCAGCCCACCTCTCTCCTCTCCGCAGTGGCTCCCCATTCCCAGGCTCCGTGCAGACTCCTGGCCTGCACGTATGGCGTGTGGAGAAGCTGAAGCCAGTGCCTGTGGCCCCCGAGAACCAGGGCGTCTTCTTCTCCGGGGACTCCTACCTGGTGCTGCACAATGGCCCGGAGGAGCTCTCGCACCTGCACCTGTGGATAGGTAAGGGGGCGGGGCAGGGGCCTGGGCAGGGTGGGCTGGCCCCGGTCTCAAGGTCTCACCTGCCACCCCCACAGGTCAGCAGTCATCCCGCGATGAGCAGGGGGCCTGCGCCGTGCTGGCCGTGCACCTCAACACCCTGCTCGGGGAGCGTCCGGTGCAGCACCGCGAGGTGCAAGGCAACGAATCCGACCTCTTCATGAGCTACTTCCCGCGAGGCCTCAAGTACCAGGTCAGAGCCGCCCTCCCTGCCCGGCTGCTTGGTGCCCTGTGGATGTCCGGGGTGCCCTGCGGATGTCCGGGGTGCCCTGGGAGCTGGGGCCCCCTTCTGTGGCCTCCCAATGGGAAGGGGTGCAGCCCCACTCAGGCGGGCCTTCTGGCTGCAGGAGGGTGGCGTGGAGTCGGCGTTTCACAAGACCTCGCCGGGGACAGCCCCAGCTGCCATCAAGAAACTCTACCAGGTGAAGGGGAAGAAGAACATCCGGGCCACTGAGCGGGCACTGAGCTGGGACAGCTTCAACACTGGGGACTGCTTCATCCTGGACCTGGGCCAGGTGGGTGGCAGATGGCACACCTGCATGGGCACCGGGCCGGGCCGCCAGGAGCCCGAGGAAGGGGTTAGGGGAGGGAGGCTGGAGCCCACCCCACAGCCCCCGCTCCTGCCATGAGGAAACACACTGCAGCCAGCCCTCAGTGTCTGCGGGATTGTTTCCTGGGCCCCCACAAGTGCTCGCGACTTCCACATAAACCTAACATGGTGTCTGTGTGTGTACACTGCAAAGACAGTTTTTTTCTTTTCTTTATTTCTTTCTCTTTCTTTCTTTTTTTGCAATACTGACTGAGATCAGGGCCTTCCTGTTGTTATATCCTCAACCCTCTTACTTTTTATTTTGAGACAGCATCTTGCTAAATCACCAAGTTGTCCAGGCTGGACTTGAATTTACCACCCTCCTGCCTCAGCCTTCCAGAATGCCTGGATTATAGGTGTACACCACCCTGCCTGGCCATCCCTACCCAGTCCTTTTTCAGATTTTAAATTTTGAGACAAGGTCTTAATAAATCACAAACTCACCCACAGGGCTGGGATTACAGACATGTTTCCCAAATGAGCCTTTTCTAGATGACTCATAACACCTACAACAAGATAAATGCCATGTGACTAGTTGCCCCGTGTACTTAGGGAATAATGGCAAAAAAAAGTCTGTATAAGTTCAGTAGAGATAGTTTTAAAAAAAAATTTTTTTTACACTAGTGTCTCACTAGTTCATCCTGGCCTCAAACTCATGGTGATCCTCCTGCCTCAGCCTCCAGAACGCACCACCACACCTGGCTTCTGTACGTTTCCAATTTTCAGTTAGTCAACTCTGGTGGAACCCGCAAATGCAGAGGGCTGACTCCGTAGGGACAGAAGCCAGCCCCCCACAATCCAGCTGGTGCCTCAGAGGCCCTGGAGCTCACCTCCCCCTTCCCTTGGAAGCCTTTGTAGCCCTAGTTAGTTGCTCCCTGTCCATTTTCATTAGCTTACCCGCTTGCCCACTCATTCCCTGATCTGCGATGCTCCCTGAGTCAGCACAGGCGCTGGAGAGGCTCCCACATGGAGGCAGCCCGGCGGCCGTCACGTGCTATCCCCCGTAGCGGGGTGTGACCGAGACAGCAGTGGCCAGGGACTGGGGATGCTCAGGGTGGGGGGGCCTTGCCCAAGGTGAAGCCAGTTATCCCAGAACCTGGAGACGTACAGCTGCGTCATGCAGCTGAGGGCACAGGGGAAGGGTGCAGATGTGGGTGAAGACCAGACTGTGAGAGGGACTTGGTGTGGGACAGGGGCAGTGGAGACAGTGGCTGCAGAAGTGAGACCCGGTCCATGAGGACACTGTTGGTCTTTCTGGAGTCTCGATGAAGATTTAGGGCTTCGAGGTCAATCCAGGAGCTCCTGGTGGTGAGGACTCCATGTGGAGGATGACGAGGGAGAAACAGCCGAGGGACCGGGGGTCAGGAGAGAGGGGTGTGGGATACAGTGCTCTGCCAGCAGGGCGTTCATTCATTCATTCACCAGCTCACCCATTCCTTCATTCATGTATTTTTTCCTAAATATGTACCAGTTGTTTTAATTTCTTTTTTCTGAATCTGTGCCAGTGTTTTAGTAGTGATTATATAGCAGGGAACAGAATGAAACTAAGCCTTTGTGCCCTGCAGCTTAGTTTCGACAAACAGGAACTAGACTTTATTTTTATGGTACTTGGGATTTAACCCAGGGCCTTTGAACTGAGCTGTGTCCCCAGCCTTTTTTTTTTGTACTGAGCATCAAACTCAGGACCTTGCACTTTCCAGGCAGGCGCTGTGCTGCTGAGCTGCATCCCCTGCCCAGAGATAGATTTAAATATGTGGTGATAAGTGGTGTGGGTTTAAAAAAAAAAAAAAAAAAAGGGGGCCAGGGACATAGCTCAGTGACACAGTGCCTGCCTGGCAAGTGCGAGGTTATGAGTTCGACTCCTGGTGCCAAACAAACAAAAAAACAAGCCAGGCGCAGTGGCAAATGTCTAACCCAGCACTCTGGAGGCTGAGGCTGTGAGTTTGAGGCCAGCGTACACTGGGAGTTCAAAACCAGCCTGAACTACATAGTGAGGCTCTGTTTCAAACAACAAAAACAAACCAAAACAAGACAGGGAGTGAGATGGAGATGGCGGGTGGGCCGAAGTGCTCTTAGAGCCTTGTCACTGTCCTTCTCAGAGGTCTTTCCCCTCTGTCCCCCGCCTTCTTGATTGCCTTGGTTTGGGGGGGAAGTGAGGAGCAGAGGGGGGCCTTTCCTTGCCCCGAGGTGGGGTGGGGTCTGGGCAGCTGGCTCTGATCTGGGACACCCTGTTCACAGAACATCTTCACCTGGTGCGGGGAGAGGTCCAACATCCTGGAGCGCAACAAGGCTCGGGACCTGGCCATGGCCATCCGGGACAGTGAGCGGCAGGGCAAGGCCCAGGTGGAGATCGTCACCGATGGGGAGGAGCCCAGCGAGATGATCCAGGTTGAGGACACTGGGAGTGGGCTGGGAACCCCTGCTTCTTAGAAAGGCTGGGAGGGACAGCGGTGGGCTGGGGGCACGAGGGTGGTGACAGAGGTGGACAGCAGGGCCTTTGTGGCCGGTTTGCAGGGTGCCTGGGTGTGACAGACAGTGTGTCCCTCTGAAGTGGGTGGCCCTGCACGTGATGGCTTGAGTTTCAAAGCAGATATCCCAGCAAACCTGGACTGCCCTGGGCCCTGCAGGTTCTGGGCCCCAAGCCTGCTCTGAAGGAAGGCAACCCTGAGGAGGACCTCACAGCTGACCAGACCAACGCCCAGGCCGCGGCTCTGTACAAGGTGGGTGCCGCAGTAGCTAGGGGTGGGAGCTTCGCAGAGCAGCTGCGGGCCCAGGGATGAGGAGGAGACCACAGGAAGTGGGGAGGCATATGCAAGGCTGAGGAGAGGAGGATGTGGTGCCTGGTGGAACCTCTGGAAAGAGATAATGCCCTTTGCGTCTCCCCTCTTTAGTGAAGGTTTGAAACCACGGCTGAGCTTTACCCCTTTTGAGCTGTGTGTTCGTAGTTCGGAAACGGCTCATTTCCAGATGCACTGGGCCAGGGTAGGGGGGTAGGGGTGGTGGAGGCGGAATGCAGCAGGCTTCTTGCAGGGCTGAGGCTGTAGGACAGGAGGGAGAGAGGCACTGGGGAGGACTCGGTCACCGTGCCCCAGGCTCAGGGGCACCTGGTGTGGGCTGAGAGCCAGCACTGCGCTGCTTCCCAGGTCTCCGATGCCACTGGACAGATGAACCTGACCAAGGTGGCCGACTCCAGCCCCTTTGGCTCCGAGCTGCTTGTGTCCGACGACTGCTTTGTGCTGGACAATGGGCTCTGCGGCAAGATCTACATCTGGAAGGGTAGGAGGGCTCCCTGAGCCATCTGCAGCTGTATGGCTGGTGGGCTCCTGGCTGTTGCCATTCTGAAATCCTAAAAACATGGCCAGCCTTGAGCTCCCAGTGTCTGCTCCAACACGAAGCCGAGCCCTTCCCTCGGGCACCCCCATTCTGTTTGCTAGTTCTGGGTGGGCCCTGAACTTGTCCCTATGGAACCAGTTCCCCATGGGTTCCAGAACCTCACTTTGAGAACTACTGAGCTAGCCCAGTCCTAAGCCTTTAGTGTTCTGGGGTCCCTGATCCTAAGATTCTGCCTCCTAGGTGTGACAGGATTAGATTTTAGGTAAATTAAATACACTTTATGTGTTAGACTTGCAGAACTTGTTTTTCTAAGAGATTATATCAGCTGGAAAGACACATGCTGTTTTGCAAAAGCCTGTCTGACTCATCTTAACCACGGGAAAATGTTGAAACTGTACTTAGAGCCTGTGCAATCCTGGCAGCCTGGTTGCCTTGAATTCTCAGTGGTCCTCCTGTCTCAGCCTCTGGAGGGCTGTGAGTACAGCTGTGTGCCACCCAGCTTGATTGGCTTTCCTGAGCATGTCTTACCTCCCTAGCCAGACTAGAAGTTTCTCGGAGGCAGGAATGGTGTTTACCTCAGTCTTGATGAAGTAGCATTTGCTCAAGAAATAGCTGTGCAGTGAACCAAAGCTGAGAAACCACCAGCCCCAACCTGGTCATAAAGGGTGAGGCACTGTGTCTAGGGTTGGGTGCACCCAGGCCGGTCACACAGTAGGGACAGAGCAGAGGGGAGCTTCAAGAGAGCTCTGAGGAGGGGTCATGCCCCATAGACCCGATGCCAGGCATGGAGGGTTCCCAGAGGTCCGTGGGAGCATCTCTAGTGCCAAGGAAGAACGTGTCATAGAAAAAGAAAACAGAGGAGAAACAGAAGACTTGGGGGCCAGGAAGAGAAGGGGTGCAGCTAATCACCTCACAGTGGAAGGACAGTTTTTGAGACAGGGTCTCACTATGTCGTGCAGGCAGGCTTCTAATTTGTGGAGATCCTCCTGCCTCAGCCCCCAAGTGCTGGGATCACAGCTGTGTGCCACCATTGTGGGCACTTTTACATATCTTATAGTTACTGGAATTTTGATAGTTGGGCTAGAAAGCAACCACCAATCCATTCATGTCAGTTTCTGTGGAAAATGCCTTCCATTTTCATTACTGTAAAAGCAGGTGAATTCGTCATAGGCTTATTTTGTTGTTTTGAGTACTGGGGATTGAAGCTGGGGCCTGTGAACTGAGCTATAGTCCCAGCCCTTTTTTGAGACAGGGTCTCACTACATTGCCTAGCCTTTGATCCTCCTGACTCAGCCTACCGGAGGCTGAGATTTATAGGCCTGTGCCACAGTATCTGGCTGAGGTTCATCTCTATCAGCAGTTCGTTGCATAGCCATAAGGCCAGTGTAGGCTGCTAGCATTATGGGAGTCAGCCCGTCCACATCTGTGATAAGCCATCTGCCCTGCCTAGTGCTATAAAAAAAGACCTCAAACAGTAGGGCAGACAGCCTCGAAGGGGTGGTACAGGGAGGGAGTCCCAGGCTTTAGTTTGAAGCTTAGGAGAAAACCCATTCTCGCTGAGATGTTCTTAGGGCTTGTTGAGAGCAGAAGGTGCTTGCGGATTTTGTGGCACTGGCAGTGGAACCCAGGGTCTCGTGCTTGCCAGGTAAGTGCTCTGCCACAGACACACCCCCAGCTCCAGACCAGAAGGTTCTGATGAGACCCGGAGCAAAAGAGAAGTTTCCATTAGCTTAGAGCTGCCAATTTGGAAAAAGTCTTAAGGGACTGACTTCGTTATCTCCAAAGGGCTCTTCTGCTTTATAATTTTTAAATTGCCAGCCGTTCTGTGGAGGTGTTTAAGTTTCAAGCACTGGGCATGGCAGTGAAAGTGTGTAACCCCAGAACTCTGGTAGGTTAAGGCAGGAGGACTGCAGGTTGGAACCCAGCCCGGGCAATTTAGCGACTTAGTGAGATCTTGTCTCAAAATAAAAAAAGCTGGAGATGTAGCTCAGAGAGAAGGCCCTGGGTTAAACCTCCAGTGTCAAAAAAAAAAGGGTGGGGGGCAGGGGGTGGCTTTCAAGAAAAATGGGGTGAAGGCTAAAGAGGGTCTTGGCTCTTTTAAAACACACCCTTCCCATGATCCACCAGGGCGAAAAGCTAACGAAAAGGAGCGGCAGGCGGCCCTCCAAGTGGCCGAGGACTTCATCTCCCGCATGCGGTACGCGCCCAACACTCAGGTGAGCAGGCATCCGGGTCCGCGGCCCCACGCCCACGCCCTTTCTGTGGCCTCTGCGCCTCTCAGACGGGACAAGGGGGAGGGAGAACTTTGGACCCAGTGGGGAACAGTGAAGCCCCTGTGCCTCTTACACCCACTGCCAGTCCTTCAACATTTAAAAGCTTGTCTGATTTTTTTTTTTTCTGTTTCTTTTTTGAGTTTCTCTGAGATGGGATCTTGCTTGCAGTTCAGGCTGGTCTTGGATTCACTGTGTAGCTGAGGCTGGCTTCAAATTTGTGGTGCTGAGATTATAATGTGTGCTATGAAGCCCACAGTGTTATTTTTTACGTTACCGTATTTTCAAAGAAGATACTGGGGAGCAAGTAAGGCGTGCTTTTGGATGGCTTGTGCTCCTCCCCCAGGCCACTGTTTCTGACTGCCACTTCCCCTAGCCCCAGGCTGGCGGCTAAGTCACGCCGCTCATCTGTGGGTGATGATAGTATGAGACTGTGTGGCAGGCGTGATGACTTTGTGAGCCGACCTCTTGTCCCTGTCCTGCAGGTGGAGATTCTGCCCCAGGGCCGAGAGAGTCCCATCTTCAAGCAATTCTTCAAGGACTGGAAGTGAGGGTGGGCGACTCCCTGCCTTGCTCCCTACCTCCGCCTGCACCCGCTTTCTCCTCCTCCGGATGCCCCTGCCAATGTTCAATAAAGGAAACAAGTGCCTTCCAAAGCTCTCCTCCTGGCCCTGTTCACCCAGCTCATCCGCATGCTGGGGGCTGAGTCTGAGCAGAGCTGACACTGGCTTTGCAAGACTGAGGCAGAGGAACCAGGGTCCCTGGGCCAGCAGGTCCTGCTGTGTACCAAAGTGGGTGGCCCAGAACCTAGCCTGGGGTCCCTTGCAGTCTGGGCTTCAGTTCGGTCTCATCGTGCCAGCAGGACACTTGTCGCTGTGGGCTTAGAATACATCTCCATCCCAGACATCGATCCCTTGGGGTCTGGGAAGCTCCACGAAGCAGCTTTGAATGAGTGCTCAGGTTGGGGTGCAGCTCAGTGGGGGAGCGGGTACTTTGTGTACAGGGGTGATCAAAAAATATGGTAAATATTAACATTTTAAAAGATGCATGGCATGAAACCCATCCAGCCTCCCCCTCTCTTTGGACACACTTGGCCTGTCCTTAGCACTCTCCAAAGCACTTCCGGAAGTCCTCTGGCAGGAGTGTCTTCAGCTGCACTCTAGTGGCTGCCCCAATGTCCGGAACTGATGGCAAACATGTACTCTTCACGGTCATTTTGACTTTGAGGAAGAGCCGGAAGTCACACAGTGCCAGATCCCGGAATGAAGCAGATGGGGACACTGCGCATACTGTCACAAGGCTGCTCCTTCCTGGGGGGTGGTGCTTGGCAGCAGCATTCACTGTACTTTTGATCCACATCACAAAGACATGAAAGAGGATTTAAAGAACTGCTTCAGAGCAGGGCGAGGCGGCACACACCTGTAGTTCTAGCACCAGGGGGCAGAGGCTCAAGGCCAGTTTAACTTACAAAGTATGACTCTATCTCAAAAAAAAAAGTGTTTCACAAATGTGATCCTGCTGGGCATGATGGTGCATGCTGTAATCTCAGCACTTGGTGCATGCTTGTAATCTCAGGCAGAAGGATTGCTGTGAGATCAAGGCTGGCCTGGGCTACATAACAAAGCCTTATCTTAAAAACCACCAAAAAAATCAAAACAAGGGAAAGTTTGAAGGTGGTTAATGGTGATGTGTCTTGTACTATAATAAAGTTTTTTTTTTTAAATTTCAGTATAGCTGGGCATGGTGGCATATGCCTGTAATCCCAGCATTTGGGAAGCTGAGGCAGGAGGATCATTGTGAGTTTCAGACCAGCTTGGGCTACAAAGTGAGCTTTCAAGGCCAGCCTGAATTGCATAGGGGGACCCTGTCTCAAAAAGACACATTTCAGTATATACCTGTTCTTGATCACACCTACATGACATCCTGGTTTTGATGCCTAGCACCACACATAAAGGTGGGTAGGACAGTTGACAGCTGACCTGAGGCCTGGCTGTTCCTTGCAGGACACAGCCTTGTCTGGCTGATGGGCAGGAAAAGCTCCAGGCTGGAGTGGCCCAGGTCTGGCTCTCACCTGCCTCCCTCCCTGGCGAGCTGCTTTCCCGTCTGCCCTCAGTTCGCATTCTTGTCTTGGGCTCTTGCTGATTTTGGCCAAGGGGCATAGAACCAGCTTCCTGTGGACTCCCTCCCTGTCCTCTCCAGGCTCCTGGTCCTCACCCTGGGCCCTGCAGGATCAGGTACCAGGGTGGTCTTTGAAAAGAGAGAGGAAGTGATGGAGTGGGTCAGGGCTTTGCTGAGTTTAGATTTAGGGTGCATCCTCAGTTTCCCACGGAAAGCGCAGGCCTTTTTCCAAGAAAATACAGATGAAGATCTTTCATGGTGCTGGGGTTTGAACCCAGGGCCTGTGCACTGAGTTAACCCCTCCCTTTTTGTATCTTATTTTTGAGACAGATCTGGCTAAGTTGTTTTGTTTTCCAGGCTGGACTGTGACCCTCCTGCCTCAGCTTCGGCTTTTTCATGTATGCGTGGTCAGTCTCGGCCCACAGCCAGTCTCTCAGCAGTCACAGCTGAAGAGGGAGGGGACTGTCCCCAGCCTGGCACTCGGTGGAACTGAGCCAGAGACTTTTCCTAAGTCCTCCCTGGCCATCTCCCGGGGCTCAGCCAGGCTTGAAAGAAAGGATGGGGTCTTAGTTACCACCTGGCAGAGCCAGCGGGGTAACCTGCAGGAGCACCATGCAGGCAGGAGGCAGGGCCTGCACATTCGGATGACCATCTGTCACCCAATGAGGGGGACAGCAGAGCCCAGCGTGCCCAGAAGCCACAAGGGAAAACCAGCAAGGGCCACCTCGTCCCGCTGCTTTGCTGGGGTCTAACCAGGTCTGGGATGAAAGACTACACACTTGGGTCCCTTATGAGTACAGCAATTCCTTTATTCTAAAAAAAAAAAAAAACCTGCTGGTGTGCAGTGAATTTCCCTGCAGCGAATTTACCTTCCCTCAGGCCAGAAAACGTCCTCAGGCCCGGGCAGCCTCCACAGGAGGACCTGCCACTGTGATGGGGCAGCCCTGGGGGCGCCCAGCCTAGTGCCCATTGCTACACCCTAAAGCACAAGGCAGGAACTAGGGGAGGAGGGGCCAGCATCGGGTGGGAAAAGCCGTCGACTACCCCTGGGCTGTGCTGCCCCCTGCTGGCTGCGGCCACTGTTACATTTTCCTCTTCACAACCAGACACCAGGAGCCCGGTACTGCTGGGGAGTCAGGCTCCGGGTCGGGACTCCCCTTCCGTGTGGAATGTACAAGTGTCAGGATCGGGGTGCCCATCTCACAGCCCACCCACTCCCTCCGAGATCCCTGGGGCCAGCCCTGGGCCTGGAGCCCTGCTGGGAACGAGACCTTACACTGGTCAGTAAGTCTGTGCTCCAGGCAGCCCGTGTGGTGGGCTCAAGCGCTGGGTTCTTCGGGCTGAGGCTGTTTCTCCAGCCAGGCCCAGGGCGTCCTAACCTCAGCTGCGGTGGCAGGAAGTGGCCAGCCCACCAGGGAGCGTGGGACATGGTTTGGCACTTGCCCTCCTAGCTCCCTGCGGCCCAGCGCGTAGGTAGGTGCTATCCGCCTGTCATGGGATTGCTCAGACGAGCCCTGAGTCTTCAGATGCACGAGGCTGCAGGTCACACAAGCCCGTGAAGGCGAGGTCCTTGTCGTGAGGGCCTTCGGGCCCAGGGTACTTCTGTAACCCCAGCAGGGAGGCTTGTCCCTCTGACAGCTGGGCCAGGTATACCTCCAGGCTCTTGAGCAACCGCCGGGGGTTCTTCTTGGCCCACACTTCCAAGTCTGGAACAGAGGACAGGAGCGAGGCTTAGGGAGCTTTGGACAGCACAGTAGCCGGCACCCCCAGACCAGCAGCTCCACTGAGCCGCCCGAACTCTATTTGTAACAGAGGCACAAGAGTCTCCAAGGATGGAGAGCACTGAGGATGGAAAGGGGAGGATGAGGAGCCAGAGAGAGCCCAGGGACCATGTACTCCCCCACCTGCGCAATCTCAACTCCGAAGAGCCCACCCAGCTGCTGGACCCAGCGTCCAGGCTTTGATTCAGCACATGTGACTGTCACCAGTGTATGACCTGGGGAGGGGACCAGCAGGCCGCTGGCGGTGGGCTGATGGATGCAGCTGGGAGAGGACATTGTGGGCTCTGGCCCCGGGCATGGGTGCTCAGAGATGGACGAACCTTTGAGGACAAATCCTGCATCAGAGATGGTCTTCTTCTGGGTCCTCCAGATGTGTGCAAGGCGGAGGAAAGTGGCGGCATAGAAGCTGTTCACCACAGGGATGACCTTCCGCTGCCGGTTACACTCCCTGCGGGCCAGACAGCTGACCCCTGGTTTCCTCCTGCCCTGCCTCCCGGTCCCTCAGGCAGCCAGCCCAGCCCAGGAGACCCCCACCAGTGTCCAGGGGTCATGAGATGGGCTGGGTGATGGGACATGGGGATTCTACCCAGGCCCGAGGGAGCTCACAGGGAGGAACAGAGAGAGGAGGACTGGGCAGGGTCTTGCTGGACTCACCTGGAGAGACACTCTTCCCTCAAGGCCTGGATGGCCATGCGCGTGATGTTCACAGACACCAGGCAGAAAGGGAATTGCTGGAAGGGAGTGGAGTGGGTCAGCGGCCACTGTCCCTGTGCTTCGTCATGAGGGGCGGCTGGTACCTTGGTGCTGATGCTGTTTCCCCAGTAGCCGGCCCTCCCCTTGAAGATGAAGCTGAGGCCGAGACCGCCAGCAGCATTCCCGAGGCACACCTGAGGTCTCTACCCCAGAGCCCACGTTCATGACCCCAGTTTTCCTGTCCTCGAACGTCCTGAGCCCTTAGCGCTCCCTGGCTTTCACCAGCTCCCCCAACCCCCGTTGCCTGCACAGCATGTCACCCCTACAGCTGTGATGAACATCACAGGAGGAGGGAGGCTGTGTTCTCAGGCTGCACGGGTCCTTTTCTGTTTGCTTTGAGACAGGATCTCACTGTGTAGCCCAGACTGGACTCCAACTCGTGGTGACCCTCCTGCCTCAGCCTCCAGAGTGCTGGGATTACACACGTGCACCACCACACCCAGCCTCTGTAGACCCTTTCTCTGGACTTCTGGTTACCTGGCTGCTCATCCAAAAGCAGCCAGGAGGGGTGCAAGGAGGTGGGAAGGCATCCTTGACTTGCCAGTGCTGATAGGGGCCCCCAGAGCGGGCGTGCAGGCACTGCCCTGAGGATCCAGTGCTTTATTTTAGGGAGGGCAAGTTCCTTCTTGTTATTTAGTAACAGTAAAACAAAACAAGCGTGACTTCAACATGGAAAGGGGCTCTGTCCACGGAACCTGCAGACAGCACTGGTTACTTCCATAAGCGCGTATTTCCCGAGAGGGAGCAGAGACCAGTGCGTGCCTCAGTGCAGAAACAAACCATAGAGGCTGAGGGCTCCTGAGAAAAGAACACTGTTACATTTGAGTACGTGCCCAGTGTCACATGTGCTCGGTAGCTGCTGCACTGCAGTGCATCTCTGACAGAGTGACTCCATCACTGTAGACGGTTTTGACCGCACTGGCCTGGCTGCCTGCTAGCTGTGTGTCCTGGAGAGTCACCACCTCCGGGATACTCGGCCTCTCCAGATCTCAGCACCAAAAACGGAAGGAGCTTGGAGTGTTGTGTGGAAAAAAGTTAACGTGGCAGGCCTGAAATTGCTGTCCTTAGAGTCCTGTTCACCGGTTTGGCCCACAGCTGGCATCTGGGAACTTGATTATTATTTTCATTTATTTATTTTGCTGTACTAAGGATCAAATTCAAGGCCTCTGTACTGAGCTACATCCCCAGCCCTTTTTTCTTTTGGGATAGGGTCCTACTAAGTTGTTCAGGCTGGGTTCAAACTTGAAATCCTCCTGCCTCAGCCTCCCAAGAGTGCTGGGTTTACAGATGTGCACCACCATGCCAGGCTTGAGAATCTGAATTTAGAGAGATGAGTGGCGCACTGTTCCTGAAATGCCCGTGAACCAGGTTTGTGCTGAACACCTGCTTTCCCCCTGTGATTCTGGAATTTGAGTCTCTGCCAGGGAGACGGCACCTCCATGACAGGTGACAGGGAAACCCTGGGCACTGAGCCTCCAATAGAGCTTCCCTGACTGGTATGTGGCACGCGATTGGATGCTGGAGAAATACTGTACGGTGCCATGTTTCTAGACAGAAACCAGAAGGGGCAGCATCACCGGAGCGCCAAACAGGAGCATAAAATCCCGGTTGTTGACTTCCACAGGAGGCCGCTTGGATGTGAGCACCTGGCTTCCCGTGGACTTGGTTCTGTGCATGGCGCCCCTTTACTGCCTCTGTTCACTCTGTGCTCACTTGTGCTGTGCACATCACCATGCGGGGTCCTCAGGGCAGGTCACTCCACCGAGGGATGGCCTCAGGCCCCACCCCAGCCCCACACTGGGTGGAGCTGTCACTAATCATTGGCAAAGCTGTGGTACGAGCTCCACCATCTGCAGCTTACATCATCTGTTACCTCCTGTCGTGCCAGGATCACTGTGAAGGCTGCTTAGGGTTGGACACTGCCTGCTTCTCCGGGCCACAGGGGAGGAACACGGTCAGCAGCATCGCCGCCTTGTCTGTCCGCCTCCTATCAGATTCCCTGCCTGAGACTGCCTCTCCTCTTCTTCCAGTATAGAAACAAATGTGGGGCCAGGAACAGGGAGCAACATACAGGAGGATCTAAACGTACTGTTCCACCACTCAAACAGTCTTACAAAGTCCGCCTGAAAAATAGCGAAAAACTGGATTTCAGACCTAAATGTCTCTTTTCTCCAGTATTTTCCTCAGTCCTGAACAAGGCTAGGCAGAGTAGGACACTGGCCATGCCTGTGTTTCAGGAACTGACCCAAAGGCAGCAGAGCAAATCAGAGCCAGCCACTGTGTCTCCCCTGATCACTGCTGCTTGATGGGCTGCGCTGCACGGAAGGCTGAGGCAGGGAGGTGGGAGCCTCTTCTGTGGGGATGTCTAGTTGGCCGCACTGCCCAGAGGCCCTGGAGCGAGCCCCCGGCTGAGAGGCACCATGTACAGGGCGCACTGCCAGGCCTGGTGGCGGAAATGCGAGCTCCAGGCCCAGGCTTCCCACTGCTGAGCCCCAGCCATGTGCAGACACTAGCTCTGTGCTAGAGAGAGGTTCACCAGGCTCTTCCTGCCTCCGTCTCTCACGGGGCTGTCATGGGGACGGAATGAAACAAATCTCAGAGCACTCCATGGCTGGTGTCTGAGTCAGCGTTACGATAAGGGGCTCTCTTGTCTGCCACCAAGACACCACTGTGCCTGGCCACTTGGTGTGGCCACGCTGTGCCACTGCTTCTCTGGGCCCTGGCTGGAGCCCTTGCCTGTGGCTGGGTGTGGAGTCCAGGAGTCCCTATGTGTGATGCATGTGGATACTGGGGCTGCAGTGGCTGGGATTGGTGTGGGCAAGCACAGTGTCCCCTATCGCCACCCTAACCTCATGGATGGCCTCTGAAAACCCTGTGTTGTGGAGATTCTGAAGGGCTAGGAGGCAAGTTTTTAACATTAAACACTAGAACTACCAACTGGGTGCAGGACTCTGTGCTCAGCTATTTGGGAGGCTGAGACGGGAGGATGGCTGGAGCTTGGGAGTTTGAGATCAGCCTGGGAAACACAGTGAGGCTCCCCGCCCCACTCCCAAAACTGGTGGGTGAAAGTCTGAGGATTAACAGGACATTTGCACAGTCTCCCAGTGTTTTTCCTTAAGATAGTTATGAATTACATGGGGAAAACAGAAACTTAACATGGAGAAACCTAGCAGACACTGCCACCCAGGTGATCAAAGCCAGATGTGGCAGCACACATCTGTAATCCCAGCACTTGAGAGGCTGAGGCAGGCGGGTCACCACAAGACCTAAGGTCACCAGCCTAAACTACATGGTGAGATTCCTTCTGCAAAAACCAAACACCAATGAACAAAGCAACCCAAGCTATCAAGGTCAACATCACTAGAGTAAAGACGCCCTGACAGTCCGTGTACCAGGCAAGCGCTCACTTCGGTGGTACTTTGGCCCAAACTGCATGACCTCTATCTAATTCCAGATGCAGAGGACTGTGGTAGGAGCTGAGCAAAGACTGCAGCTCGGTTAACAATTAGCTTTGACAACTGTCCTGTGGTTGTGTGAGATCGAGATCGTTATTAGGGTGAGCTGAATTTAGGGCCTGTGGGAATGCTCTGTGCTGCTTCTGCACCTTTTCTGTAAATCTGCAATTATCCCAGAATGAAAAGTGAAGCTGGGCACAGTGACGCAGGTGCATAATCCCAGCACCCGGGAGGCTGAGCGAGAGGACGGCAAGTCGCAGCCCAGCCTGAGCAACTAAGTGATTCTAGCTCAAAATCAAAAAATAGAAAAGGGCTGGGAAAGAAGCTCCGTGTGAAGGCCCTGGATTTAATCCCTAATACCCCCACCCCACCCCACCCCAAATAACCCCAACTCTTCAGGAAGCTGAGGCAGGAAGATCACAAGTTTGAGAACTCAGTGAGACTGGGAACGAAGAGCTGGGATGGGGGGTTCAGTGGTGAAGCACCTCGGGTTTCAGATCTGAGCTAAATCCCCAGCCCCTCAAATCCAGTATCACACACAAAAAGAGCACCTTGGTCAAACGCTATGCTCCTCCAAGAAACTCTGACCCCACAGGAAAGTCAGGGATCCCAACACCACCCACTTCCTTCAATGCTCAACTTTACTGTCCTCCTTATTTATCTTGAATGCGCCAAGACCAACTCCTTTTATTCTCTGAACCCCTTCATAGGAACTGCACAAGTAGCCTCTTCTCCCCTGGCTCACTGTCAAGGGTCTCCGGCAGGCTCCGGGTGACCTGTGCTCTGCCCCTATTTTCTATTTTTTTTTTTTGTCTTTTTTGTTTTTATCAGTACCAGGGATCGAACTCACGACTGCCTGCTTACAAGGCAGGCGCTTATGCCGCTGAGCTAAATCCCCAGCCCCCCCTATTTTCACCTCTCCCCGACTCCCGGAATCGTGCCACCGTGGGCCTGGCACAGCAGAGCTCAGTGTGCAATGCTCCCAGCACAACAGTGCTGCCGTCCCTAGCTGATGTCCCTATAAATCAGAATTTAGCCTCCTGAGCACCTGCCTCTGTGAGAAGGTTTCTGGGCGGCACTGCCAAGCCCTAGAGGCCTTTCTCCCTGCTCCCCCCCGCCATCACTGGACTTCTCCCCGCTCTCCCCTCCGAGGTGCAGCTCTCATTTTCCTGTTGTCAGGTGATACTGCCCACCTGCACCACTGCTGTCCATCTGAAATCACTACAAACCGCTCTTCCCCAGAACCACCCCATTTTTGGTTCCCTTTGGCAACAAAATTCCTTGAAAAGTTGTTTACATTTGGGCTGGGGATTTAGCTCAGCAGCATATCTCCCACCCCCATCCATTCTTACACTCAATCCACAGCTGAGCCTGTGTCTCTGACACTCACTGAAATATTCCCAGCAGGGTCACTCAGACAGCAGCTCAGGGCTGATGCTCCATCCCCTCCGCTCACACCTCCCAGCCCCTGCCCCCAGGGTGCCTCTTCCTTCCCCTGGGCACTCATCCCCTGGAAACGTTCCTCCAGTCCATGACTTAATGGCCCATCTGCATCAGTGGTGCCCACTCAGGGCTGAGTACAACTCCGGACACTGGGTCGGCTCAGAGCTTCTGATCTGTGAGGTTTGGAGAGGGGCCACACACATGAGGTCCAACTCTTTTTAATTGCTATTTTATTTTGAGACAGGGTCTCACTGTGCCCCCCAGACTGGCCTCAAACATGTCATCCTCCTGACTCAGCCTCCCTGGGAGGATTACAGGCATGTAGCACACCTGGCCAGACGTGCATGTCTAACAAGCGGCTTCTAGTCTGAGGATGGCATCTTCAGAGCCACGTATGCTGCCAATTCCCTTTCTTTTTTTTGAGACAGGATCTCACTGTGCAGTTCAGGCTGGCCTTGAACTCACAGCAGTCCTCCTGCCTCAGCCTCTTGAGTTACTGGGATTTTAGGTGTGCACCACCATGCCTGGCTAATAATTCCCTAATTTTAATCTCTAGCCCACAACTTTCCCCCAATTCCACACACACAGCTCACTGACCTCTCCACTTACAAGTCTGAAGATCTCTGAACACATATGACACAGCTGAACCCTCAACGTGCTCCTTCTTACCAACTGATGGGAACTCTATCTTTCCCCTTGCTCAGGCTAAAATCGTTAACTTCTTTCTTCATCCCAAATCCGTATCTACTCCATCGGAAAAAACCATGCTGGTTCTATTCTCTTACGCTTGTGCATGCAAGACTCCATATACGTAGCATCTGACCACTTGGCATCACTGCCTGTGAAAATACCCTGGTCCAAACTACTGTCACCTCTAATTTGAATTATTATGAAAACCCTCCTCAGCATGGGGGCACACACCTGAAATTCTAGCTACCAGGAGGCAGAGGCAGGAAGACTGAACGTTTGAGGCCAGCCTGAGCAACTTAGCAAGACCCTGTCTCAAAATAAAAAGGAATACGAATGCAGCTCAGTGGTGAGAGGTTGCCTAGCACACAGCAGGCCCTTGGTTAGGTTCCTTGGACTGAAACAAAAAAATGTAAGCTGACTCAGGTATGATGGTGCAGATCTGTAACCCCAGCACTGTGGGAGGCTGAGGCAGGAAGATCCCAAGTTTGAGTCCAATCTGGGCAATTTAGTGATTAAGCAACAGACTGTGTTTCTAACAATAAATAAATAAGGTTGGCAATGTAGTTCAGTGTTTGATTCCCAGTATTGGGGAGCAGGTAGTGGGTCCCCCTTTGACTTAGTGTACAACCCACAGTTCTCATGGCCTGCAAGGCTCTCGTCACTCTGCTGGCTGTCTCTGTGGCTTTCACTGTGCCCTCCCTGTTTTTCCCCTCCTGCTGGCATCCCTGGCAGGGCCGCATACCCTGCCTTTGCTCTGGCTTCTCCTGCTTTCTACAGTGTTCTTCCCCAAAGGCTGCTTGGACACCAGGCTACGTCCTCCAAGCTCAGCTCAAGCCTTGGTTTGTGTCTCACGGGGGCTCTGCTGATGCCCCATGAAATACCACAATGCCCCTCTTCTCCTGGCCTCCTGAGTGCCCATCACCCCCCCCACACACACACACACACTCCTCCTGTCGTCCTCTGTGACCGATGTAGGTCAGTACCCACTTCCTGCAGGGCCAGTGGAAGCTGCTGTCCCGTGTCTCTGCTGGAGGATCTCAGGCTGGGCTGTGCACTGCTGGACCCCGAGAGCCAGAAGTACCTGGCACGGGGTTGCTAAGTCAGCCTTCACTCAGTAAGTAAGTGAACCCCAGGTCTTATGAATCCGGATGGACACATGGAAGGACTCAGGTCAGGTGGCCTCAAGTGTCAGGGAGTTGACACTCCCTGGGAAACTATTGGCCAGAAGGCAGGGCTGGATAAAGAACAAGAGGCCACCAAGGCCACTCTGGCCCATGAGTAAGTCCCTAGGTCACCTGAAGGCCGGCTCTTCCCTTCAGGGTCAGGAGAGGCTACCACCACCATGCGAGGACGTCCCCGGAGAGCATAGGGCAGAAGCAGCAGCCTCACGGTGTGCCTAGTGTGCCGCACATTATCCCACCTGATTTTCCCATGAGCCACCTAAAGTCTCATGCCTTCCATCTGCAGATGGGGATTCCAGGGCTCCAGGCTGCTGAGGAACCGGCTGGAGACCACAGCTAACGGAGATGGAGCTCAGACCCAGCACAGGCCAGGCCGACAGGAAAGCCGTTCCTGAGCATCCTCAGCACTGGGAGAGCAGTGAGGTCCTGGCTGCAGGCCTCGCTCCACACCCTCTCCTGTGCATCCCACCGAAGCCCACCTGGATATGGTGATGAGACAGGCAGAGAATCTCCCGGGCCATGAACAAGGTCTTTGAGTCCATCACCAGGTACAGCAGGTGCAGGAGGGCGAGGAAGCCTGCCCCTCTCAGGTCCGTGGCTGGATTTGCCCCTATAAAGGAAACCCCACATATGCTGGTGAGCTGGGATGCACCAGGCCTGCTCTACTGAGCTCTGGCATGTAGTTCAGGGTGGCCTTGAATTCAGTGTGTAGCCAGGGCGTCCTCAAACTCAAGGTGATCCTCCTGCCTCAGCCCCCTGATGTTACAGTGATTACAGGCATGTGCTACTATGCCGGGCTGGGTTTGGCAGCATTATAAGGAGAAGAAGAGAGATCTGAGTTGACACATAGTGCCCTGTCTTGCTCTGTGATGCCCTCCCACATGTTACACTGCAGTAAGAGACCATGAGGAGATCAAGCAGGTACTGTGCCATGCTCTTGGGCCTCCCAGCTTCCAGAACCATAAGCCAAACAACTGTTTATAAATTACCCAGGCTCCAGTATTTTGTTATAGCAACCGAAAATGGACTAAGGGCAGATCAAAAAGCCACCAAAAAAAAAGCCTCTTTCTCTAGCCAAAGTGCCAGGAAAGGGGGGGCCTAGTAAGACAGAACATTTTAGACAGTATCCACCCTACTGCAACCGAACAGCACAGAGAGACGGGGTCCCCTCCCACTCCCCCTCAGCAAAGGCAGGGTGGGAGCCTGGATCCCACTCTGGCCTGACTGTAGAGAGGGTCCTGAAGTTATACCAGCCGTGTCACAGCAGAGAAGTGAGTGGGTCAGCAGAGGTCAAATGGGACAGCCAGGGAGGTGATGCCCTCTTTCCCCAGCTGGCATGGTATTGCTAAAATGAAGAGCAGAAATAAGGTCTACGGTCTCACAAGATCACACTCCCAAGTCTCCAAGATCTAACGGAAAATCACATGCTACCTACAGCAGAACCAGGACACTCAGGTTGGATGAGGAAAGGCACTCAACAGCCACCAATACTGAGATAATACAGATTTTGGAACGGTCTGACAAGACTGTATTATTTTATTTTTTTGTGGTACTAGGGATCACGTCCATGCCATGTAAGTAGTCTGCCACCGAGCTGCAGCCCCAGATCCTGACATGGATTTTAAAGGAACTATGACAGGCAGAATAATGTCCTGCTTCCAAAGATACCCACATCCTAATCCCCGGAACCTGGCTGCATGGCTTAAGATCGCAGGTGAAATTAAGGTTGCTCATAAACAGAAAGGGAGACTATCCTGGGACATATGGGTGCCCCTGTAATGAGAAAGAGCCATAAAAACAGAAGAGAGACGCAAAACCACAGAGCCACACAAAGCACGAGACACAGGTGTGGACTGAGGCTCAGAGAGACACTTCCGGGTTTGAAGGCAGAGGAAGGAAGGGAACCTTTTGGAAGCTGCAAAAGGCAAGGAAATGGATTTTCTTCTAGAGCCTCCAAAGGGCGATGCAGCGCTGCGGACACCTTAATCTTCTCTCATGAATCCTCCTCAGACTCCTGAACCTCAAACCTGGAAGATAACAGCACTGTATCTATTTTTTTGGTTTTTTGTTTTTGTCTTTTTCCTTTTTATCGGTACCGGGGATCGAACTCATGACTGCCTGCTTGCAAGGCAGGCGCTTATGCAGCTGAACTAAATCCCCAGCCCCAGCACTGTATCTATTAAGGCATTAAGTTTGAAGAAATTTGTTACAGCAAGAGTAAAAATTACTGCAGCAGTCATGAAATGCCTTTAGTAAGCAATTTTCGGTGGATATATTTACATAGACTTGGACAATACATTATACCTATATATATGGCACATTTATTTATATGTGTAGTGTTGGAGATTGAAACTAGGGCCATACACGTGTTAGCCAAGCGCTCTAGCACCAAACTACATGCCCAGCCATTTATTTAATTTTATATTTGTAATTTTAAGACAGTATCTCTCTAAACTGTCCAAGCTGGCCTCAAATGTGTGATCCTCTCACCTCAGCCTCCTGAATAGCTGGGATTACAGGTGTTTCCCCCCATGTGCTCTCCTGCTGAGGATTGCCATGATTTTGAGACTGGCCCAACAGCAGAGTGAAACCCTGTCTCAAAAAGACTCACCAACCAACCAACAAATAAATACACAGGCACACATACACACACACACAATCACAGGACAGGTTCAGCAGGAGAAGGGAGATAAAAGAGGAATCTGCAGCTAGGAGTGGTGGTGTACGCCTGTGATCCCAGCACTTGGGAGGCTGGGACAGGAGGATCGAAGTGAGTTCAAACCCAGCCTGAGCTGTACGACTAGACCTTCTCTCAACAACAACCAAAGAGGAATCTGTGAATGCAAAGACAGAACAACAGAAATTATTCAGTTTGAACAACAGGAGAGAAAACAAAACAGTCAAGGCAGATAAAACCAGGTGGGTCAGAGCCTTCGAGTGCTCTGCGGCTACAACAACGACTTTAAACAATGAACCGAGACCTGACTTTCCCCTTACCTGAGTCCCACAAGAAAGGAGAAAGTGTGGGGCTAAAGACGTCTTCAAAGAAAGCATGTCTGGAAATTTACCAGATTTGGCAAAAGACACAAACCTACAGATGGCAGCCGACCCCACGCAGGATCCACTGCAGAGAGCCACGCCGCGCCATGCCACAGAGTCCTGAGGCCTGCAGGCAAGTGGACGGCCATGAAAGTAGAGGCAAAAACAGCTCTTTATTCATGAGGGACAGATTCAGCAGAAAGCAGATTTCTCTGGAGGAACTAAGGAGGCCAGAGGAGGCAGCACATCTTCAAGAGCTGAAAGAAGAAACCTGGATGAACTCTGTACCAGCGAACCCCGAGAGAGGGGAAATCAAGACACTGTTGGATGAAGGGAAGCGCACGGCATCAATGTCCAGCAGACTAAGAGTGGCTGAAGGAAGGGTTTGCAATGGCAAGACGGCGATAAACAGGGAGCTCAGGGATGCCAGGAAGGAGGAACAATGGCAAGCATGAAGCGACACCCCTGTCCCTGCAGAGGGTGGTTTCCTTTCCGCAGCACTAGGGACGGTCTGCAGCGCTTCAGCACGCGAGGATGGTGCTCTGCCACTGAGCTAGGTCTCCGGCCCTTCCAGCAGCTGCTAAAATCATGTTTGATGGTCAGAACAAAGACTGTAACATTATAAACAGGACAATGTGCAGAGAGGACATACTAAAGACACAGTCCAGATGAGGAAGACAACAGGGCTTGAAAGCCTGTCAATACCAACAAACATGAGGATATAGCATTTCTCTTCAGGCTGGTGTGGTGACTCACGCCTGCAATCCCAGCACTCGGGAGGCTGAGGCAGGAGGACTGTTGTGAGTTCGAAACCAGCCTGGGCTACAACGTGAGCTCAAGGCCAGCCTGAACTGCGTAGAGAGACCCTGTGTCAAAAAGACTAAAAAAAAAGAAAAAGATAAGCAAGTCAGATTTCCAGTTTTATCACTTCAGTGCTTTCCAGCTCGTGCAAACATTTTACAACAGCTTGTGTGGCCACCAAGTGATCTTTCTTCCTGTCACCCTTGTACTATTGTGTCCCTCTCACTCACACTCCTTGCTCTCTTCCTTTCTTTTTTTTTTTTTTTTTGTGATATGGTCTCCCTACCTAGTTCAGACTGGCCTTGAACTCGAGGTGATCCTCCCGCCTCAGCCTGTCAAATGCTGGGATTACAGGTGTTCAGCACCATCCTTGTGTTTCAAATGCTGAAAGTACACTACACCTCAGGCCTCCCCTAGATGTCCCTCCTTGTGCTGCCAGCCATGCTGGACACTGTAGTCTCGCTCTAGTCCTGACACCAGAGCAACAAGCCACTTCTCTTACCCTGGAAGCCCAGGTCCTCCCAGTGGTCTCCGTGGAGGGCGCAGTCAAACCTGGAGCCGGTCAGCTTCCGGTAGATGGTCTGGAGGACTCGGCCGTGCACTGGGTCTTGGCTGTCCAGGCCACCTGCCCCGAAACACACCCACACTCTGCCTGACTGAACCCCAGGGGAGGACTGGGTGCATCAGGAGAACAGAGCTCACCCACCAGCACAGCAGATGCAAAGCCCTGGTTTGGCCTCAGCCTCGTGGGCCGCTCCTCCTGACCACATGCAGTGCCTGCCCCGCGGCATCCCGTGCACTTACTCACACTGAGCAATGGTCAGGACCAAGTCCCTCTCTTCCCGAAGGCCCTGGTGGAGCTTTGGAGGCCCAAACAGGCAGTGCCGGAGGGCAGCGAGCCCAGTCCTTCGAATGGTTGGCTGGATTCTTTTCTAGAGAGGAAATTGGCGCCATGGGCAGAGCGCTGGCTTCCCCTCCCTTGCTGATCTTACCACTGGCCTCGGACCTGTTCTCTTCCCCCAGCTGGGAATTGTCCTCAGGGCTACAGAAGCGGGCAGAAGCTGTGAGGCACCCGCTGGGTCCCCACACACAGGCTCTTCCAGCTCCTGGGCTCCTTGCAAGGAGAGAGATGCCCTAGGCACGGCACCACCAGCCAGCCCTGTGCCCTTGGTCCTCTGGGCTTGTCCAGCACTAGCAATGCCGCCAACTCCCAGTAGGGCACAGACGCACAACTGAGGGAGGCCCTTGTGTGGCCAGAAGAAAGCAGGCCTGGACACCCAGCAGGGCTGCCTCAACACTTCCTATGCTGTCCCTTTCTCTCTAAAGCCCTGAATTATACAGTCTAGCATCTCCTCAGCTTCTGGTGGGAAGGCCAGGGGGAGAGGAACTTGGTGGACCCCTGGAGAGATGCCTTTGAGGGGAGCAACAGCCTTGGGTCCTGACCAGCACCTTCCCAGCCTCGTGGCTGGGCCATCCTTAGATTACGATTTTGGCAGCTTCTGGCCCTTGGGACCCTATCAACCATCTCAATTTCCATCTTCAGCCTCTCCTGCCTGAATCAGATTTTAGGTTGAAGATCTGACTGACATCTCTTTCCGCTGAACTTCCTACTGTCACTCAAGACAGCCTAAAGAGCTCCTCGGCTTTTATTCTCCCAAATATTCGTCATCATAATAGTTTTTAAACTCCTAAATGGCTCCTGGCTCTTTGAGAGAATTTTTATCCACTGGCCATGAATCGCTCAGCTCCCTGGACAGCTTGCTTCCTCTCCAAGGGCTACCTGGCCCTTGATTCCTATGAGCGAAGAGCGGGGACAAGTGACAAGGCCATATGGATTTCCTGGGCACAGTCCCACCAAGGCTACCGGGGCCCTGCACCAATTATGAGTCCTTGGCCACTTGTGACCCCGGGCCCCGAGATTTCTCAAGTCTGGCTGGGCCCTCAACTGGAAGCCTCCATCTTGCTTGTCCAGTGTCCGACCTTGGTGGGGAGAAGGCACTCGCTCAAGACCCCGAACCTCCCTTCCCCTGTACCTTGAAGGAGGAGAGGTCCAGAGTTTGAAAATGCTGCAGGGCCTCGGAGAAGGAGATGAGCTGCCCTGGCTGCTCTGAGCTGGCCTGGCTCCCTGGAGGAAAGGGGAACACGCCTGAGGGTTAGACGCAGTAGTCATTCTGACAGTGGACAGTTACTGAGGGCCCTCTTGTTGTGCTCTCCAAGCTAAGCACTGGCTCCCAGCTAGAGGGCACTCACCTACACTCCAGCCCATTCCCTTCTAGGGAGCTGGCATTATGCACTGCCGCCTCTCTTGGACTAGGCTATTTGAAGTCTTGCTCACTGCCTGTGCAATGGGGGGACAGACCTGTCCTGCCAGGTGCTCCCTAACTCCACATGGGGGAGCAAGTCACTGCATGAAGGAGGCGCTCACATAGGCGTGTGCCACTGATTTGGTCGGGGGGCCCTTCCTAATCACTACGATGTCCCTTCTCATGCCTGTGCAGGACCCCTCACCTCATTATAGCCCAGATGGAATGAACTCATCATCAATGATTCAGGCTGACACCATTCACCGGAACCCCTCCCTGAAGCTCAGCAGGGCTCAGACCTAAGCCAGCTCCAGGCTCCACCTCCCACAGCTCTGTCCAAGCCTGGCAGGAAGGGACTTGAGACAGCTTCCATGCAGCCTTTGGAGCCCTCTAGCAGATGCCTTTAGCCCCTTCCCGAGGATCCTGCTTGTTCAGTGTGCAGCCTGACCAGGCGCATGCCTCTCTCCTCCTGCCCACCCTGACACCTCCCGAGGCTGACTCTGACCAAGGGACCCTGGCGAGGAACGCTGTGTTCCCTCGGGCTGGGCAGAAGGTGGACAGGGTGGTGACCCTTCCCACTGCACTCCTTCCCATTCCCTCTGCAGGCAGATGGCACCACCTTTGGGTTTGAGAAACAGCCCTTAGGTCACACAGGTAAAACAACAACACTGAAGAACTGTGTCTCCTAGTGCTCAAGTCACAGTCAGTCCCATGTGGGGACGGTGCCCTTGCTAGCCGATGTGCCGTGTGGCCATGGCACCATTCCCATAGTTACCTGCCTCTGGCTGGATGGTGTCCACAGCCTCCCACTCCTCTTGGGCTCTGAGCACCTCTGGGCTTACAGCTGCAGTGGGGTGAGAAGGAGACCTTGTAAGATCGAGGTGTTTTGGGGCCACTGTTGCAGACCCCAGCCTTGGCCGGCTGCCTTGAATCTCATCACCTCCTATTACTCTTCACATGGAAGCCAGAGTGAGCTGCTTCTTTTTTTAAAAAAATCATTATTTTTTGTGTGTGTATGTGGTGCTGGGGATCAAACTCAAGACCTTCTGCATTCAAGGCAAGAGCTCTACCACTGAGCCACATCCCCAGCCCTGAGTGAGCTTCTGAAGGGCAGCTCTGACGTCCCCACCTGCTCTTCCAAACTCTCTGAGGAGTCTCCCTAACCCTCACGACAGAGCCCACACTCGACAGCACAGCGCCCGAGTCAAGTCCCTGAACAGTTCCAGGGCTGAAGAGGAGGCTGGAGTTCTCAGGGCTCTCTGTCCTCTCCCTCCTTGGAGCCTCCCACAGCCCTCTGCGTCCTCAGTCCCGAGCCTGCGGTGCAGCCCCTCCTCATCCCTATCTCTCTCACCCAGTGCCTTCTCAGCTACTTCAAGTGGATTGCAGACATTGCTGTGTGAGGTGCAGATGCTCAGTGATTACTGCAGGGGGTACCTCACTCTCCCACTAGGCCGTGATCCAGATCAGCCCCTCTCTGCCTCATTATCTTGGCTGAGGCCCTCACATGATGAGAAACTACCAGGCGAGGGTGATGGTGCTTAGAGGTGGGGCCTTTGGAAGTGGTTAGTGTTAGCGTCATCAGGTGGCTCTCCCATGATGGCACACTGGTGGCTTCACAAGAGAGACCAGAGGGGACACCTGTGATGCCCTTGCACCAGCTACCACCAAGGATCCATCACCAAAGGCAGCCCTGTGACCCTAGAATACTCATAGTTATGAGTACAAACAAACCTCTTTTCTTTACAAAGCCTCAGGCATTTTGTTACAGCAATGAGAAAATGGACTAAGACAGAGAACATAATTGCAGGTTAAATAAAATGCTACCAAACACTAGTAGAAAATGAGGAAGAAAAAGGGGAAGCAGTGGAGGAGAGTTTCCAAAAGCACATTGGAAAGCCAAACTGTGTATAAATTAGGTATCTGCAAAGTTTCCACAAAAATTAGCCGAATTTCTTCAGCAAGTTACTCAATCGACTGGGACTCCTTTGAGGCTGCTGCCTGGTTGAGGCAATCCTCCAGCCTCCTAGGAGAGTATGAGGGGCAAAGCTGAGGACTCAGTAACTGTCAGCCGTCATGGGTGCCACAGCTGAGGGCTTGGCGCTGGCAGGGCAGGGACAGTGCGCAGCGAGATGGGTCCAGGGTCCTGAATGTCTGACCTCCCTGCCTTCACCCCTCACCTACATAGTTTCACTGGTGCCTCGCCCTTCCATCTCACCTACAGGCAATGGGGCCAATCTCGGAGCTGACAACTCCTCAACTACACCCAACCGGATCAAAGACAGAGAGGCAGGTGCAGGGATCTGCTCTCACAGACCCTGGCCAACACGAAGTGCAGGGTCTCAGCTGGCGGTATCGAGCTGGTGGCCAAAAGGGCAACAAATGCTTGAGCCAGGTGAGAGCTTTTCCTGGCCTCTTGGAACAACCCAACTCTGAAAGTGACTGACACAAAGACCACTTTCCCTGACACATGGGAGAACACAGGATGGGGGACAAAGCTTCAGGACATTAACAGGGCTCATGTCAGAACAGCCCTCTTTCCCCCCGTTTTAATTTCCTCCTTTGGCCTCTTCTTTTTATTTTTATTTTTTTCTTCCATTTTTTTAAACTGAAGAACAATGGTGATTGAATCAGTCTATTAATTCAAATTAGCAAAGAGTAATTCCAAAAATATGAGAATTTTTTCATATGACTGAAAGAGCTGGGACAAATATTCTAGTTGTATTAAAATATAAAACACTTTGGTATTTGTGATAAAAGTGATTACTGCCGGGCGTGGTGGTGCACGCCTATAATCCCAACACTCAGGACCTGAGGCAGGAGAACGGCTGCCAGTCTGAGGTCAGCCTGGGCTGCAATGTTAGCTCAAGGCCAGCACAGTGAAACCTGGTCTCAACAAGATAAATAAATAAATCAATGTAGGTTATTAATTTACCAATGGTGTCTTAACCACATAGGGCACAGATAAAATCCCATTAAAAGAGGCTTTGTAGGGCTGGGGTTCGGCTTAGCAGCAGAACATTGCCTAACATGGGTGAGGCCTGGGTGAGTCACTGCACAAAGGAGAAAGAAAGAAAAAAACCAAACTTTTAGATTCCAAATAATTTTTCTACATTTGAGTACTTATAAAAGCCTAGTATTTCTGGAGATTATGTTTGCAATATGTAAGGTTTAAAAATAACAATATATAACAATAAGCCCACTCACCGTAATTTATATTTTGGGTAAAGCACCTTGTTCACATTTAATCGTTACAAAGACCCTACCATGTTCCGATATAAGCTGTTTTTAAAATTTACTTCTAGCCTGCAGTGTCGGAGATCAAAGCCAGAGCTTTGTGGGTGCCAGGCAAGTGCTCTACCACTGAGCCGCACTGCCTGCCTTGCCGGTCTTACGACTGAGGGACAGAGGATTAGAAAAATGAAGTCGTTTCTCAAAGGCACGGAGGTGAGAGAGCTAGAATCTCAGTGGAGGTATCCAACTCCATGAAGGTGCTTCCGAATTATGAGTCCCTTTCTCCGTAACAAACTAGCAAGGGGAATGAACTTTAAATATAGTGCAGGAGACAGGATGTGCTGAGCACGCCTGTAATCCCAGCACCCAGGAGGCTGCGGCAAGATGACTGCATGTTCAGGCCAGCCTGGAGAACTCTGAAAGGACCTGGTGGAAGACTACTTTCCCTGACCCATGGATAACACAGCAAGAACCCACCTCAATGGGGCGGGGGATTTAGCTGAGCGGCATAAGCACCTGCATGGCAAGCGGACAGTCCTGAGTTCGATCCCCAGTACCGATAAAAAGGAAAAAGACAAAAAAAAAAAAAGAACCCACCTCAAAAAACAAAACAACACACAAACAACAACAACCAAAAACAACTAAAACCCATAGCACAGGCAAGAGCTTGGAAAGCAGACATCGCAGGATATTCTTCCGCACACACCACAGCACTGCCTCTCCTGCTGGCTTCTTTCCTCCCTCCCTCCTCGCTTTTTCTTCCTTCCTGTTGTTTGCTATTTCTTATTTTGAAACAGGATATTTACTAAATCGCTAAGTTGCCCAGCCTGAGTTCACACTTGTGATCCGCCTGCCTCAGTCTCCTAGAGTGCTCGGATTATAGGCCTGCACCACCAAGCCTGGTTATACTCCTCTGTGTCACAGTATCTCTTAGAAGAGAGGAATTATTGCCAGGCATGGTGGCACTGAGGAAGCTGAGGCAGGAGGACTGCCATGAGTTCAAGACCAACCTGAGCTAATTAGCAAAACCCTGTCTCCACCTCCCGCCCTGCGATGAGAGAGGTATTATTATTGGCACTGTGTTCTTTCCATAGAGATTACATGGCTTGCCCAGAAGCACACCATAAACTGTTAGCAGGGAAACTGACCCCTAAGTCAGCACTGATTCTATTTTGCCTTGAGGAATGATAAATCTACAAAGTGCAGGACAAAAGGCAAGGGAAATTCAGATGATGAAGGGCAGGTCCCAGGGCTCCCAGGCCCCTGGGGGGTCCTTACTTGGCTCCCATTCATCCGCATCAGCAGTAAGGGCCTGGAGGATGCTGTGCTTCTTCAGCTCTGAGATCTGGGGGTAGGGGGAAGACAGGTGACTTTGGAGAGGGTGGAGTCCGCCCCCAGCACTTCCCACCCTCTCCATGGAATACCCTCAAATCTGGGAGCCAAACGGATCTGGTCTGCCCTGATGCACTGAGCAAAGCCTTTTAGTCAGGGATGGCGGTGCAGCCTGTGATCCCAGCTCTTGGGGAGCCTGAGGGAGGAGGATCACCCTGAGGTTTGGGGCAGGCTGGGCGATACAATGAGTCCAAAACTACATAGTCCTAAACTACATAGTAAGAGCCTGTCTTGAAAAACAAAAACATTCATTTTTTTTCTTTTGTTTTGACTTTGGTGTTGACTGAACCCATGGCCTTGGTAGGCTACACACGCACAGGGCCACTGAGCGACACCCTAGCCCAAAAGTCAAACTTACAGGGGCACCCGGACAGCTTTATCTATCACAGAGCAGCTCCGTAACATGAGGAATAATTGTGCGCCTGCCATGAGAGTAAATACACAAAAGGCCACACCCCCATCGGAGACCGCTGCGTGCCTTTGGTATTCCCACGACTTTGTACACTCTGCTGCACTGTGGCAGTTAGGGGGCAGAGGTTGTGGGGTTCATCTGTGTGAGCACCCCTGCTGAAGTGTGAGCTCCTGGAAACAGGGTCTATGCCCTCCTGTGACCCCAGGGCCTAGCACAGCCCTGGCACCCCATGGTGGCACGGAACAGGCAGGGCGCTACAGTGTGGGTGATACGTACAGGGACTCCTTTAAAGGCCGCAAGAGCACAGCTGTTCTTGTCCTGTGGTGGAGAGCACCCGGCAGACACTCCTTCAACCTGTAAGACAGACCACGGTCAAGCTCTTGGGCACATACCAACCCCAGGCCACAGCTGGAACGCTGCCCTTTCCACAGAATCCCAAAAGAATGAATTCAGAGAATTCAGCTACAGGAAATACTGTGCAGAGAAACCTCAAGTTAATACGGTCTGAAGAAAACCTACAAGCTGGGGACGTAGCTCAGTGTAGAGCACTTGCCTAGTAAGTGTGAGGCCCTGGGCTTGATCACCAGCAACACACACACACACACACACACAACACACACACACGCATGCATGCATGTACCCACACAGGAAGAAAAATTCTATTATCTCAAAAAATTTACACTTTTTTTTTGTATTGGGGATCGAACTCACAACCTCACGCTTGCCAGGCAGGCACTCGAACCACTGAGCTAAATTCCTGGCCCTTTACAGATTTTTTAGCACTGTTAAAAAGATAAGTAAATTAAGCTGAGGGAGGCTATTTCCCCTGACCTTTTTCTTAATTACATCTTTTACCTACTATAGTTAAACTTGAAAAACCATTTATAGCTCACATCACAGATATAAGGCTAATTTTCTTAACATGTAAAAAACAAATCCTACAAATAAATAAGTTAAAAAACAAACAAACTTGACCCAGATGTGGTAGTGCACCCCTGTGATTCTAGCACTTGAGAGGCTGAGGCAGGAGAATCAATGTGAGTGAGTTCAAGGGAGCTCGGGCTACAGAGTGAATTCAAGGATAGAATCACCTTTCCTTGTTTGTGGTGCTAGAGATTAAACCCAGGGCCTCATGTGTGCTAGACACGTGGTCTACTCCTGAGCTACACTGCAGCCCAGAACCACCTTTAATGGAACAAAGAGCTATAGAGAGTTTTCCTGAAATATTTCTAAAACTCCACATCCTCTTGGTATATTCTCTCCTTTATGACTGGTGATCTGCCCGAAGCCACCACCTTCTTTCCCAGATAGGAGCGCTTACCTGGCCATCTCTTAATTCTTTCTCATTATGGCAAGAGCAAGATTTTTCACTCATGACTCAGAGTCATCTGTTCAAGTGAGCTTTGTCCTGGGCTCAGAAAGAGTTTAATAAGCTCCGAGATCTGAAGCTATGAAGTGAGCCGAGGATCCAACGGCTCTACCTTTGCCTTCCTCCTTGGCAGTCATTCAGACCAGGAGTAACAAAACAGTCCCTGTGTGCCATCACCAGGGTGTAGCAGGTCCCCATGTGCATTCTAAGAAGCTCCTGAGGACTCTGAAGTCTCAGCTCTGGAAAAGGGAAAAAAGAAAACTGGTTTCATCATTCAGCTACACCTTGAAGAAAAAAATGACTTTTTTTTTTGGTTTGGGCTAAATGGCTGCCTGAGCACTAGGCATTGCATCTAGGCTTTTATTTTGGGTACCAGGCAGGCGTGTGTGCTGCTGAGTTGTACCCCTGGCCCTTATAATCTTTAAGCAGCAGTGAATGAATTCTGAATAAATGAGCTGCCGTAAGCAGATGCCTGCATCTCATTACGCATGCCACTGGTCAGCAGGGGACCATGCAGCAGTCCTGGGCTGGGCTTTCAGTGGGCAAAGGCAAGCAGCACTACTCTCTCAGCTGCAGGTTCTGTCTCTGGGGATAACGGGGCTGGGACCCGGGCCACCTTATCAAAGAGGGGAAGCTGAGTAGCTGAGTAGAACCCTGGTGGGTGTTCGTAAATGAAGAGCTCAGGTTTTGCTGAGGTCCAAAACACAAGTTGGGCTCCTAGAAGGTGAGAAACTAAAAATTTGAAATTCAACACAATGGCTTAACCTTTTCCAATTTTGCTTTTTTTTGTTTTTTGGTGGTGGTACTGAGCATAGAATCAGGGCCTTTACACTGAGCTCCATTCCCAGCCCTTTTTATTTTGAGGTCATGTCCTGCTAAGTTGCCAAGCCTGGGCTGGATTTTTGATGCTCCTGCCTTAGTCCCTCAGAGCACTGAGATCACAGGCACGCACCTCCATGCCTCGCTTATCAGTATGATACACGCGCCAGCTACTTAGCCAGTCTGGCCAACTCCAAGTGTGTGGTTTTGCCTTTGTTTTTTTGATGCTGGGGATTAAACTCAGGTCCTCACTCATGCTAAGCAACAGCCCCAATTCTGAGTCTTTCATCTCACACTGTCTGCCTCAGGAAAAGGGCTGGACAAGGATCAGATACCTTACCCTAAGGAACTGGACATCAGGGACACCTATCACATAAAAGATCCAGATTGTGATTGGGCAGGCTCATGTGCAACTGACAATCATGCTTCACAGACTTAGGTGGCAAACAAGGTGTCCTATCTGTGGGACTATGATTTAGATTCTCTAAGAAATGGCTGCCACGCATGGTGGCACCAACCCTGTAATCCTAGCACTCAGAGGAGGCTAAGGCAGAAGGATTGCCATGAATCCTAGGCCAGTTTGGACTACACAGTGAGTTCAAGGCCAGTCTGAATTACACTGAGACTCTTGTCTGAAAAAAACCAAAACACAGTAGGGCGTGATGGCACACATCTACAATCCCAGACCTGGTAAGGCTGAGGCAGGAGGATGGTCCCCAGTTTGTGGTCAGCCTGGACTTAACATAATAAGTTCAAGGCCAGCTTGAACTACATAGCAAAACTCTGTCTCGAAAAACCAAAACCAAACAAACAAAACCTGGTATCTTTGTCAGGACACATTGATTATTACCACTAAGAGGAGGGATATCTTCTGGATCTTGCAGTGGACATCTGACTCACTGTAATTCGTGGGGGGAGGGCAGCGCCCCCTCTGTTTGAGTATCCCAGGATATATATAGCCTTTTGTCACTGGGACCTTGGCACCTGCCTCCTTTTACTTGTTTTCAGCATGGTCTCCATGACAGCATAGGACAAAAACACAGATGCGTCAACCTTGGCGAGCAAGTGTGAGGACAGCAATCTCACGAAGGCTCTTCTACTCCTGTAGGAAATGAACCAAGTGGCGCAGAGGCATGACCAGCTCTACACACCCTGCTGCACTGCTGACGGCTTCAACAGGGACAGCTACTATCTGTATCACAGAGACAAAGAACAAAGATTCTTGGGTTCTCTCTGACCAGTGTTAGGCACCTGACAGCTGGAAACTGCCCTCCCAGAAAAATGGATCCTTCTTGAATCGCAGCTATGCGTAAAGGGGCTGTGACTTTTCAACTGCTTACTGGAATTTAAATTTCCTAAATTATTGGATTTGGACGCTGATCCATCCTTAAGCACAAATGCTCACATAGGTGCCATACTTGTTGCCTGACCCTTCCACAAAACCTAGTCCTTGAGCAGCAACCTGTCCTATGTCCACAAAGTAGAACTCAGCCAGAGCCAACGTCGCGGGTGACAGGAGGGGACTGTCAAGGCCACTGCTCCAGCTCACGGAATGGCCCAAGGCCGGGTGCTTGCTGGTTTCAAAAGGGGGCTCAATTCATCAAACTCCTCCGTTAACCACAGGCTGGAGGGGACTCAGGAAGGAAACTTTCTCTCTGCTTTAAGCAACTAGCTTCCGGGCATTCAGAGAGTCCAAGGAAAAATCGGGACCAGAACTCAGGTCCTCTATCTCCCAGAAAAGACTCTCCCTGTCCTGCAATTTTGAGTCTCGGGCAGCCCCACGGCGATCGTCGGCACCTCAAAACCTCTAGCTTCAGACAGCCCAACCCTTGCTCACCCGACGCGTTCCCAGCGTTCCCAGCGTTTTCCCGGTGGGGGACCCCCGTCCCTGCTGGACTGCATCTGCGCACGCGCAGTGCCTCCCCTGCGGCCTCTCGGAATCCGCCCCCTCCTCGGAACTACATTTCCCAGTAGGTACCGAAACCTTCGAGGTGCTCCAAAGTGGTACGAATAGCCGGGAGGGTCAACGTATGCCAGAGATTGGCTTCGCGCCCGAGAGGCTTGTCTATTAACTATGAGAGTGGCCTCCGCCTTGCAAACTAGAGAGGGCAAACGAGCCGGGCGGAGCCACAGATATAAAAGCCGAGCGCAGGCGCAGAGGACCTGTTGCTGGGATCCCGTGCAAGCGGCGCGATGTGGCTCACGCTGGTGTTGCTAGCGGTCCTCCTGCTGGCTGGCTTTCTTAAAGTTTACCTGGGGCTGTTTCGAGGGCGCTCCCCGAACCCCTTCTCTGAGGACGTCAAGCGACCACCTGCTCCCCTCGTGACTGATAAGGAGGCCAGGAAGAAGGTGCTCAAACAAGGTTAGCGAGGGGGAACCTGGAGTCTGCGATTGCACTCGAGCCTTCTAGCGAGCTTGCTTTCCCAGTCGTGTAGATTGAGCTGATGCCTGACTTGGGCCTCAGTTTCCCCAGCAGTAAGGTGTCCCGGTAGGCTTTCTCGCCTGGAGGCGCCTGGCTGTCGCGCCCACCTGTGTTGAAAGTATTTGCCCTGGCAGACCCGGAGCACTGGCCCCAAAGGCGCGGGCACTGTCCTGGCAAACCAAGGACTTGTCCCAATCCAGTCCTGACCCTGTCAGGTGACATCGCTTTGGGTCACAGGAATAGAGGCCTTTCCCCCACTTTGTTGTGGAACCTTTTTTATGTACCCTCTGTGCATGGAAAAGCCAGGCAGGAGTCTTTCCCAGCCTTCATAGGAGCTTGGGTTATGCCAGTCAAGTGATTGAACAATTTGATAAGTATGATCGCAATTCATAGGACTGATTCTGAAACTTGGAAGAGGTTCAGCAGGCTGCCTCGGGCTCCGATCCTTGATCCTTCCGATCAAGTATCTCCACCCTCCTCTTTAAAAAACAAATTGAGGGGTTCATTCCAAGGTTGAAAGAAAGAGTTCTACTGCTTAAAATAAACCCAAAACAAAAACAAAAAACCAGGATCCCATTTGATCGCTAGCGACCTTCTCACTTAATAGATTTTTTTTCTCTGTGTAACATAGAAATAATATTGTTTTGTGTCAAAGGACTAATATTCTGGACTTTAGAGATTAATTTTAGCTTGAACTCTATCTCTAATTTACAGCATAACCATTAGCAAGTCAACCATCAATTAGAGCTGATCTAAAAACCAAATGACTAGTTTAAGTGTTTCTTTTTAAACAGGTTGTGACCCGTCAGTGAATTATGAAATGAATTTGCACTTAGCATTTTGTTTTCATTGTCCTTCTTTTGTTGTTGTTGTTGTTTTGTTTTTGAGACAGACTCACAATGTAGCCTGGGCTGGTCCTGAACTTACGGCCATCTTCTTGCCTCAGTGATTTCAACTGGCAGGGCCAGCACTAGGCTGTGACAAGACTTTGGCTTGCCAGGGAAGCACTCACGCCCTTGGGGCAACTGTGTCCTGGGTTTTCCAGAGCAAATGCTGGGATTTCAGGTATGCATGACCATGCCCAGCTAAATTAGTTTTTTAAAATGCAGTAGTAGTGCATGCCTATAATCCCAATTTCAGGGCCAGCCCAGGCAACTCATTGGCCCTGAGTCAAAGAAAGTGTGGGTGTAACTCAGAGTGCCCATGGTTCAATCTTCAGTACCCTAGGAGGGATGGTCAGAGAAGTCAGAGTGCATCATAAATAATTTTATTTTTTTTATAAATAATTTTATTATTTATTGTCCTATGTAGACACATACATATTCTGGGCAGTGTTGTAAAATAAATGTTTTCATTATGGGTCTTCCTAAACACATGAAAAGTAAATTTTGCAAGTTCTTTTGTTGCTTGAACAAGTCCAGGTCTCCACTCTGGGGCGGTGATGTTTAGAGAGCAGACCCTGTGTGGGAAGTGCCAGAACAGCAGTGTGAGCTCCCGGGTTTCATCCTCTGATGTAGTGACCCCTCGTCCATTTCCGGATGTGAAGGTGCAGTGCTGTGACTTCTCTGTCCTGCCCAAGCCTCTGCACCACACAACCCAGCTTCTCCCTTGGCATCTGCAGACCCTGCATCTTTCAGAGAAACCCAGCTCGTGAATGTGGGATCCTCCGGGCCTGTAGCCTTTCTCCCCTGCCCTGCTTCCTCAATTTTCTTTCTTTCTGGCTGCTTCCTGTGTGCGCCTGCACTGTTGTTATCTCTGGTTTTGTTCTGTCATAGCTTCCTGATTCCCACTTTCTTTGAAACAGTGACAATCCACCAATAGTAGTGGCTTTGGGTCAGTCAGTTCACCAAACCAAATCACTGTTTAGCATAGACCTGGCTGGGCCTGCAGAGTCCCAGGTGAAAATGTTGAGCCATTTTAGTCAAGAGCATTAAAAAAAAAAAGCTGAGCATGGTGGTTCATGTCTGTAATCCCAGCAGTTGGGATGATGAGGCAGGAGGATCTTTGTGAGTTTGAGACCAGCCTGTGCTACAAAGTGAGTTCAAGGCCAGCCCAAACTGCGTAGTGAGACCCTGTCTCCAAAAAATAAATAAATAAAATTTAAAGAGCATCTTGCTGTTTAGGCTCTAGAGGTCTCACGCTGTGTGCATTAGAGAAGTGCTTGTTTCTCTTTCTTTGTTTGCCCCTGACTGGGAAACCTCTTTCTGCTGCAGCTTTCTCAGTCAGCCAAGTGCCAGAGAAGCTTGATGCGGTGGTGATTGGCAGTGGCATCGGGGGCCTGGCCGCAGCAGCGATTCTGGCCAAAGCTGGCAAGCGAGTCCTGGTGCTGGAACAGCATACCAAGGCAGGGGGCTGTTGTCACACCTTTGGAAAAAATGGCCTTGAATTTGACACGGGTAAGTCTTGGGTGGAAAAGCTTTGGGAACATGGCTGTATCTCTAAGGGACTTGGAGCAGCCTCTGTGGGGTGATACTGGGCATTTCTGATGTTTTAGAATGCCATCTTCTCTCCGGGAATCCCACTGTGCCTGCTGGGCTAGGATCTGGGGGTGCCTGCTGCCATCTCCCACAAGGGAGGGTGGGCAGCCCTCTCTGGGAGTGGACTTGGCCTGGCTCAGACAACCTCCCCCGCTTCTTCCTCCCCCACTTTTCATTGGCTCAGTTCCTTTACCCATGCACTGCTTTTCTCCTGCCTCCCACAGGAATCCATTACATTGGGCGCATGAAGGAGGGCAGCCCTGGCCGGTTTATCTTGGACCAGATCACAGAAGGGCAGCTGGACTGGGCTTTGCTCTGCCCGCTGTTTGACATGGTGGTGCTCGAAAGGCCCGATGGCCGGAAGGAGTTCCCCATGTACAGTGGGAGGAAAGCATACATTCAAGGCCTCAAGGAGAAGTTTCCCCAGGAAGAAGCAGTTATTGACAAGTACATGCAGCTGGTGCAGGTAATGTGGACACTCTTTATTCCCCGAAAGGCTGAGCTGCTGGAATGACTGTGTGGGAGAGGTGAGGATGGAAGAGCAGTCATCTTTGTCCTCACCTCAGGCCCCAGCTAAGTCTACGTCTGCCCTGCTGGCCTCTCCTGCCACGGAGGCTCTGCCCAGCAGCTGCCACCTCACCCTGGCCTCTGGAACACACTTTGCTCCCTCCCTGACCAGGCTGTTTTCATGTCATCTGATCATTATTTCCTTTCAGATCAGATTAGGATTATTTTTTCCAGTACTAGGGACTGAACGCAGGTTCTTGTGGCAAGCACTGTACTGCTGAGTTAGAGTCCTAATCCAATTGATTGATTGACTGACTGATTGACACATGAGATCTCACTAAATTGTCCATGCTGGGCTTGAACTTGTGATCCTCCTGACTCAGCTTCCCAAGGAGCTTGGATTACAAGTGTGTATTACTGTGGCTGGCCAGACTGGGAATTTTTTTTTTTTTTTTTTTTTTTTTTGGTACCAGGAATCAAACTTACAATCTTGCACCTGCCAGGTAGGCACTGTGCTTCTGAGCTATATTCCTGGCACACTGGGATTTTTGAGAAAGAATTTGAGCAGGGAAGAAAAAAAACTCACTGTGTGTGTAGGGAGGGAAAAACAGAGTATAAACTTTTTGGTGTATGATACTGGGGATCAAATTCCTGACCTCACCCTTGCCAGGCAGGTGCTGTGCCACTGAGCTATATACCTGGCAAGCTTTTTTAAAAATATAAACTCATGGGGCTGTGGATTTAGCTCAGCGGCATAAGCGCCTGCCTTGCAAGCAGGCAGTTTGATCCCTGGTACCGATAAAAATGAAAAAGACAAAAAAAAAAAAAGAAAAGAAAAATATAAACTCAATAATGTCCAGCTTTGGTTAGGTGTTGCAGGGCACAGGCCATTGGAGTGGTGAATCTGTCGCAGTTCTTCCCGAGATGAGATCTGTCCCCTACAGCTCATTTTCTTTCCAGGCAGTATCCAATGGAGCCAGTCAGATGATCATACTGAAGTTCCTCCCGCTGCCCGTGGTTCAGTTCCTGAACAGGTGTGGGCTGCTGACTCGCTTCTCTCCGTTCCTTCGCGCGTCCACACAGAGCCTGGCTGAGGTCCTGCAGCAGCTTGGGGCCTCTGCTGAGCTCCAGGCCGTGCTCAGCTACATCTTCCCCACTTATGGTGTGTACTGGTCACAGGTGCTGGCGGCTTCTGGAGGATGGGGGACTCCCCTCCTCGCTCTCAGGCTGTGCTCCCTAATCTGCTTGGTTAAAATCAGAGCAGGATAGACCACAGGTCCCCTGGAGCTTGCAGATGAGAAGTCTGTCCACTGTTGGACTCTCTGGAGAAATTCCTCCGTCAGCTTCCTGAGTGATTTTCCTGTTTACCCAATTGGTGCTCCCTGGTCTTGGCAGCAAGGGGACTGTATTCCCACGCACTCCAGGATCTATAAGGTGTCCCGTGTGGGACGGAGACAGCTCCTCTGGTGGCCCTGGACTCTGGGCAACATTTGGATCCTGGATTGGACCCAGGTTGTCCCTGTTCCTTTCTGAAAGGTACTGGTGCCTGCTCCTCCCACTCATCGCCCTCTGTTCTTCCACAGGTGTGACCCCCAGCCACAGCGCCTTTGCCATGCATGCCCTGCTGGTTGACCACTACATCCAAGGCTCCTATTACCCCCGAGGGGGTTCCAGCGAGATTGCCTTCCACACCATCCCTGTGATTGAGCGGGCTGGGGGTGCAGTCCTCACGAAGGCCACTGTGCAGAGTGTGCTGCTGGACTCAGCTGGCAAAGCCTGTGGTGAGAGCCTTGCCCTGTGCTTTGGGGTCCCTGCTAGGGTGAGAGCTCTGGGGTCTCACTGAGAACAGGAGCTAAGTTCAGGTCTCTGCTGGGGTGAAGGCTTTAGGGTCTCACTAAGAGCAGGAGCTATAGCTGTATAACCTTCCTCATGTCAGGGAAATCTCTTATCAGCCGCAGAACAGCAGCTGGGGGATGGCAATTAGTCTGGAGGTAAAAAAGGAAGCAGGATAATGGATCGCACAGTCCCCAAAGAACAGTGTTTCAGGCTGGATGTGGTGGTGCACGCTGTAATCCCAGCACTTGGGAGGCTGAGGTAGGAGGATCGTTGTGAGTTCAAGACCAGTTTGGGCTACAAAGTGAGCCTAAGGCCAGCCTGAACCGCATAGTGAGACCCTGTCTCAAAAAGACAAAACCAAACCAAACAGTGTTTCATCATTATATATCAAAATATGACCCCCTTCTTGTGTGAGAGGCTGTGACCTTTTTATGTTGATAGCTGTTAGCCCATCACTGAGGTGCGTCAGTGTTTGCTCAGTGCCCGAAGGAATCATTAGGCAGCCTGGGCATCCCATGGGTCAGCCAGAAATGGAGCCTGTGGTCTTTTTTTTTTTTTTTTTTTTTTTTTTGCCTTTTTCCTTTTTATCGGTACCGGGGATCGAACTCACGACTGCCTGCTTGCAAGGCAGGCGCTTATGCCGCTGAGCTAAACCTCCAGCCCCGAGCCTGTGGTCTTGGTTGCCTGGCTCGGGTGGGTGCTGTTACTCACGTGGTCTCAGAATCCACCACAAATGAACTCTCTGAAGAGTCCTGTGTAGGAAGGACACTAGGTAGCAGAACATTCCGACCAAGGTGAGGCTTAGGGGTGTTTAATGATGCCTCAGGCAAGGGCCCAAGAAGGTGCTCCAGGAGAACAGAGCTGGCATGAACAGGAATTTGCCAGAGGAATCATTGAGGAAGAGGTGGTGATGATGGGACAGCCCAGTATCAATCAATCAATCAGTAAATAAAGAGGAAAAGGCAATTAGTGACCTTAAAGAACCCATTTATAGAAGAGACTGAGAAGTTGTGGGTGGTCGTCAGTTGTACAAGGTTTTCTCTGATGCCTGCAAACAAGTTCTGCTTCCTGCTGCAAGGGGCCTGTGCAGTGGGATGGGTGTGTTAGTTCAGCTCCATTCTGAAGGTATCCAGGGGTTTTTCATGTGTTACATGATAAAAGATGAGGACAAAAGTAAGTCCTACCTCTATCTCGAAAAGTTTCCAGACTCCAATGGAATCACATGGCAGAGTGATTGGAGGACCATGTGGAAACATATTCAGAGGTGGTGGCAACAGAACCGTGGGACAGCGAGGACCTCACAGGGGCACAGGGTTTGAGCCAGGTTGGGGTGCGAGGGAGCTGGGGGGTGAGGTGGGGAGGTGGTTCCCAGAAGGTGGAACAGCATATGCAGAAGCACAGAGGGCTGAAAGAGCTCAGTATTTTCAGGCAGCCAAAAATGGGAGGTTGAACCATATGAAACTGCCATTTTAGGAAAGGTCAAAGAATATTAGTTGTTTGATCTGGTTCTACTAATAGTTCAGTGGACTTGTGGAAGGGATTTCCCCGAATCTGCATCGTGCCTGGGGGTCCTGTCCTGCCCAGCCCTTGGCAGGCTCCACACCGATTCTGAGAAAACGAGGCACAGGCCAGGAAGGATTGGAGGGGATCAGGGCTCTTCCCAGTGTTCCTGGAACCTGAGTCCAGCTCTTGTGCCTGCAGGTGTCAGTGTGGAGAAGGGAAAAGAGCTGGTGAACATCTACTGCCCCGTGGTGATCTCCGACGCCGGACTGTTGAACACCTACCAGCACTTGCTGCCGGAAAGCGCCCGCTGCCTGCCAGGTAAAGACTGATATGCACTGCTCTTCTTCCACCCGCTCAGCTGGGTGACGTGGCCCTCTTCCTGGCCACCCCTGTGACTGTCCTTAGCAGGAAGGTGAGGACTGTGGTCTCCACTGGCACCATCCCAGCATTTATGCTTGGGGCAACAGGTCCACACAAGCAAACTTGACTTGTCAGAACCTTGGGCTATCAAAATCCCAGCTCTTTGCGCTTCCCCGGTGGAGAGGTACAGGCTTCTCTCTTCCTATGGGGGCAGCTGGGCAGGTCAACCCAGAGGAGCAAGGCTGAGCCATTAAGCTGAAGTGGCTTCAGTATATGAGACTTGAAGCCGCTGGTGTGATCTGGACGAAGAAGGCTTGTAGCAAAAAGTGACCTAAGAAGGATGACAGGGGTCCTGATACTGGCCTCTGGCTGGGGTGGGGAGTGGAAAGGACAGAGCAGCTCCGGATGTGCTGGGATGCTGGGTTAGTGGAGTCTGCAGAGCAAGAGGAAGGAGCTGCCCACCGCTCGCTCGAGTGCTTTAGTGGATCCCTGTGGAGCCAGGGCAGGGAAGTGAGGTGCTGGGCTTCCTCATGGAGTAGCAGGGGGTGGCAGTTGTAATTGTCTCTAAGGTTAGTTTCCTGCTACTGTGACAAAATCTCGAGACAACTTCAAAAGTGGAAAGGGTTTATTTTGACTCTGGGTTTCAGAGGTTGCACTTTGTAGTCACCTGCCCCTGTGCTTTGAGCTGGTGATGGTACAGGGCATTATGGTAGGAGCACCTGTACCCTTCTAGGGCATGACTCCCACCCCCAGTGACATAACTTCCTTCCTTGAAGTCCCACCCCTGTAGGGGTCACTTACCCAAACCATAGCAGAGAAGTGCCACCAAAAGCCAGCCTTTACACTTGTGCCTTACTCTGTGGGCCTCAGCCAGCATCTGACACCATCAGGTAGGGAAGCCCAGGGGTGTGTGGCAGGGACTGCCCAGTGGCAGGGCTGGCAGCCTTTGACCTTATGTCCCTTGTTTACTTAGTAGTATTTACTTACTAGGTGGCTTGTGTTAAAGTTAACACCAAGGGTCTGGGGATTTGGCTCAGTGGCATAAGCACCTACCTGGCAAGCATGAGGTCATGAGTTCAATCTCTGGTAGAAAAAAAAAGTTAACACCAAGAGCCAGGTGCAGCCTTGGGAGGCTGAGGCAGGAGGATTATTACTGTGAATTTGAGGCCAACCTAGTCTCCATAGTGAGTTCAAGGCCACTACAAACTATGAACTACATAGTGAGACTCTGTCTCAAAAAAAAAAACCAAACAAACAAACAAACAAAAAAACCCCGCCCCCAACACCAGAAAAAGTTAATACTGAAATCAAGGCTTGCAAAGAACTATTGTTTGCTTGTTGTGGCCTTTGTAAGCAGGTATCATCTGCTTTTTTGCTTTTGAGACAAAGTCTCACTGTGTAGTTGAGGCTGGCCTTGAACTCATTATGTAGCCCAGGCTGGTCTCAAACTCAGTGATCCCCCTGCCTCAGCCTCCTGAGTGCTGGGATTACAGACACATGCTGCCACATCCAGCCAATTTTAACAACAAAGACTTCCATCGTTTGTTTGGCAGCACTAGGAATTGAACTCGGGGCCTTTGTAGGTCTCACCTCCCCTTAAAATATTTTGAGACAGAGTCCTGCTAAGTTTTTGAGTTACCCAGGCTGGGCTCAGACTTGCCATCCTCCTAGAGAGCTGGGACCACAGGCCAGTACCACGGGGCCCAGCTGTAACTGGAAGACTTTGAGGAGTGAGGTAGTTAGCCTGACTGTCCTTCAGATGTGCAAGCCCGCTGTGCTGTGAGCCTGTGTGTGAATAAAGATGCTCACAGTGAAGAGGTATCTAAGGCTGTATCGGATGGGAAGCAGCAGAAAAAAGGCATCTGCAAGCTCATAAAGAAATGCTGATAAAAATGGGGATGGTGATGCTTGCCTGTGTCCCAGCTACACAGAAGGCTGAGACAGGAGGATGGCAAGTTCAAGGCTAGCCTGGGCCACTTAATGAGTATCTGTCCAAGGTGGAGCTCTGTGCTCCCTGGGTTCAATTTCCAGTACTAAAGGGTGGGGAAAGGCCTGGGTGCGGCTGGAAAGCAGGTGTCCCAAGGCTATGGGGCAGGGAGCAGCCTCTCATAGGCCTCACCACCCCACTTGGCAGCCGTGAAGCAGCAGCTGGGGATGGTGCGGCCTAGTATGGGGATGATGTCCATTTTCGTCTGCCTGCGTGGCACCAAGCAGGACTTGGGACTGCAGTCCACCAACTATTATGTTTATTTCGACACGGACCCGGACAAAGCGTAAGGCGTGTGTGTGCGTGTGCTGGACTGGGTGGAGCCTGGCAGGCGAGGAGGGCAGTTTCCAGGGCTTAGCCTCCTCCCTGGGGGGGGGGGGTCCCAGGGGTGAAGGGTCCTTGGTGTTGGGGCTGGTGGCCTTGGGGAGAAAGGGCTGGAATGGACAGTCCCCGCCTCACCTGCAGGATGCAGCGCTACACCTCCCTGCCCAGGGAGAAGGCCGTGGAACACATCCCGCTTCTCTTCATCACCTTCCCGTCCACCAAGGACCCGACCTGGGAGGACCGCTTCCCAGGTGGGCTTAAGGCCCAGTGGAGCTGGAAGGGCCGGGCAGGGCAGGCAGCAGGGTAACCTGGCTCTGCACCCCCAGATCGGTCTACAATGATCGTGCTGTTGCCCATGGCCTTTGAGTGGTTTGAAGAGTGGCAGGAGGAGCCGAAGGGAAAGCGGGGTGCCGACTATGAGACACTCAAAAACTCCTTTATCGAAGCCTGCATGTCGGTGGCCGTGAAACTGTTCCCACAGCTGGAGGGGAAGGTAGGGGGTAGAGTGTGCAGCGGGCTGGGGTGTGGCAGGCCCTTTCCTGAGGACAGGGAACTGGGCCCAGGAAAGACAGAGCCCACCCGGGCAGGAGACCAGGGTCTCACCAGTCCCTACTCTCATCCTTTTGCTTCCTCAGGTGGACAGTGTGACCGCAGGGTCCCCATTGACCAACCAGTTCTATCTGGCTGCTCCTCGAGGTACAACCTATGGGGCTGACCACGACCTGAGCCGCCTGCACCCTTATACAGTGGCCTTGATGAGGGCCCAGAGCCCCATCCCCAACCTCTACCTGACAGGTACAATGCCTTGGGGGCCAGATCTGAGACCTGGGCGTCCCCAGCAACCCAAGTCCTTTGTTCCCATCCTCAGGCCCTGGGGCTCTCTGCAGCTCCATATGCCTGGCCCTCATCTGAGGCCCTCAGGGTGGCCCTGTCCTCCCCTCCATGGGGTGACACTCACGGCCTCTGCTCATGTCTCCTAGGCCAGGACATCTCCACCTGTGGCCTGCTCGGGGCTGTGCACGGGGCCCTGCTGTGCAGCAGTGCCATCCTGAGGCGGAACTTGTACTCGGACCTCAAGGATCTTGGCTCCAGGATCCAAGCACAGAAGAAGAAGCAGCAGTAGTTTGGCCAGGGATGACTCAGAGGAACTGGCACATCCCTGACTCACCCATATGCCTTTCTGCATTAAATCTGCACACACGAAGTACTTAGATTGTATCTGATTTAGGCCGAACACCAATCAGTGTCCAGCGGCAGCTCTTGCAGGTGATGATCTGTCCACCTTTTGCAACCCGCTGTTCTCGGCTGCTGCCCCGCACACTGCCATGGCTTGTTATAAGCACACTCTGGTCCCTTCCCCAGGCCGCCCATCTCTGGACAATCAGTACAGATTCTGGGGGGTCAGTGTGCAGAACCTCTGAGAGTGCTGGCCAGTGGACAGAGTGATCTGGTCCTGCCATGAGGTTTTTCCTCTTGTTCACTCTTGGTGCTGTACTGGAGTCTACACTGTCACGTGAGGGGTTGGCACCTGGTTCTCAATGTGCTGATGCCAAGACACTCATCCTCTGCCCTTGGGTTACACAGGGAAGGGCAATGCTAGTGGTCAGGACAGACTGACATGACTTGGCTGGGACGAGTGGCTGGAGGGAGCATTCCAGATCAAGAGCACAGCTGAGGACATCACTAAGGTGACAGTGTCAGGACACCAGCTTAAGTGTCCCTTGCCTAGCTAGGAGGAGGGCTGGGGTGAGGAGTCAGGACCAGAACATAGGAAGCCACCTGTGGGTGGCTCCTACAGTTTGCCGGTACATATGAAGTTAAGCATCCCTTTTCTAAAATGCTTGGGATTAGAATTTCTGATTCAAATTTTGGAGTATTTGTATATACGTAATGAGACATCTTAGGACTAGGACCCAGATTCAAACAAACAATTCATTCTGTTTCACATTCACCTTACTCAGAGTAATTTTAAATAGTACGTAGCTGGGCACTGTGGCACATCTGTAATCCTAACGCTTGGGAGGCCAAGGCAGGAGGACTGCTGCAAGTTCGAGGCCAGCCAGGACTACACAGTGAGACCTTGTCACAGTGAGAAAAACAGTATTTAAGTTACTTTGTACATTTCGCTGTGACCAATCACATAAGATCATGCCACCATTCAAAAAGCTTTGAATTGGGGTTGGGGATTTAGCTCAGCGGCATAAAGCGCCTGCCTTGTAAGCAGGCAGTCATGAGTTCGATACCGATAAAAAGGAAAAAGACAACAAACAAACAAACAAAAAGCTTTGAATTTTAGAGCAGTTTGAATTTCAGATTAGGGTGTTCAACTAGTATAAAAGATGAAGGGGAGATAAAGGCTAAAGGTTAAAAACAACAGTCTTATGTTAGCCTTATTTTATATACCACTAATTTAATAAATTTCACTACTCTGATATCTGAAATTTATTTTGGTTCTGTTCAATAACACAAAACTACAGTGACATGGCATTTACAGCAAAACATCACATACTGAAAAATACTTTCATTAGACCACAACAAGGTTTAAAAAAATATAAAGTTAATTAAGTTACAAAAAGCTGAAAAAATACAAAACATTGCTAAACAGTGGCAATCTATTAATCAGGCAAACAGAAGGGAAACAATTTCAACAATCAAATGTTCACATAACATGATCTCTCATGAATTAAATCTATCAAGCATGTAAGGAGGCTGGCTTTGTTGGCAGTTTCCATATTATACAGCTCAGACCTGAACCTTTACAGGTAAGTTTGTAAATTGGAATATGCAGGAAATTCACATCTAACTTGTGGATCTGGCTGAGCTGAAAGTTGCCCTTGGCTCTGGGCGTACAGTTAACATTAAACCTCAAAAAACTGCTTTCAGCATCCTTAAGCAAGGCAATGCCAAACTCAGCCTTCCTAGCAAGGGTTTTCAGGAGCCAGCCTGGTGGAAGCACAGGTCTGCCGTACAGCACACCTTCCTCCACGGTCAGACAGTTCAGAACGTGTGTAAAGTGCTCTAGCTTTCATCACATCCAGCAGTCTGCACCAGGTTACCCTGTAAAAACAAGGCCCGGTGAAGGAAATGAATATAACCATTAGGAATTTTGCAGGTAGTATTCTATTACTGACGGGTTCATGAAAAGCTATCATGGGGAAGAATTCAGTATACATAGTTGTCATTTATTTCTAAGTGGTTTTAGTTGTTCTAGATGTGCTGGCCTTCACCTCTCCAGAACCCACAAGTGAACACTGAACATGTACTCAGTAATCTGTAGCAAGAAAACAAGTTCCTCTACTAACATCCATGACTGCAGGCAGACACCCGCCCTTTGACCCGAGCTGGGCAGGAGAGGATGCCCACACTGCAGGGAGTCAGAAGTTCTGTGTGCTTCCTCCACAGCTGCCCAGCCAGCTCGTGCTCAGGCACACACAGGCTTCCTTTGGTGAGAGATTTCCTCCGGGGCACTTTCAGCACAAGCAGTGATAGTTCTCAGTGTAGACTGTGACACTCGCCAACCTTTCTGGTTTCTGACACCACCTTATCTCTCTATTCTCTTTAAGAGCAAAAACCAACATGTATAAGATCACAGCAGCCAGCAGCCAGCAAGCTGTTTGCCCTCATCGGAGCCATGCAAGGGAAGAAGACTGACGTGCCTTAGGAATGTCACTATGTGGCAGCTGTAACAGTGCTAAGGGCTGTCTCTGAAGAGCTTACATTTTTTTTTTTTTGGGTACTGGGGATCAACTCACAACCTCGCACTTGCCAGGCAGGCACTGTGGTGCTGAGCTATATCCTCTGCCCAAGAGCTTTAGATTTCTTGGAGAGACCAGAATGAGAGATAGCAGACACTGACTACCCTGTTCCACTGAAGTTCCAAAATGAGTGAGTGGCATTATTAAGAGCTACTGGAAGCTGGGTGTGGTAGTACACATTTGTAATTCCATCACTTGGGAGGCTGAGGCAGGAAGATCATTCTAAGTTTGAGATCAGCCGGGGCTACAAAGTGAGCTCAAGGCCAGCCTGAACTGACTAGTGAGAACGTGTCTCAAAAACAAAACAAAACAAAGCAAAGAGCTACTGGAATGGAACCGAATGAGCCCATCTTGTGGTATGGGGCAGGAAGGAATGGAAAACTTGGGCGTGGCCTTAAAGAAATGGGGATTTGGAGACAGCAAAAGATGGCAGAAAACCTAAACAAAGGACAACCACAGGAAGCTGGGAAATGCTGGGAAATGCAAAAGAAGAATAATGGCACAGTCAAAGGTGGACACCCAACATGAGGCAGCGTTGGCTTACATGAGACACAGAAGAAGACAGGAAGAACCAATTAAAATGATTCCTGAAAAAATATTCCGTAGAAAAGTGAAATGGCTGGGGGTGTGGCAAGGGGAAGCAAGGAAGACGGGCAGACAGACTGCAGTTGGAAATAGTGGGCAGCTGAGAGGAAGAGAGAAACCCAATTTTGAGAGACATGAGGGTACCCTAGCCAAACTATCCGGCTTGTTGTAGGCCTCAGTTCTTTGGCAAGCAGGCCAAGGACAAAAACAGGAGTCACTCAGAGGATGAAGAATGGATGCCTTTTTGAGGAGTGAAAGGAATGAAGCCTGGCTCTGAGAATTTCTTCCCCTCCAGAGAGGAAAAGACAGCACAGAGTCAGAGTCAGCGACACCAAGAAAGGGGGTGTCCATAAGCATGGTCAGCAGCGCCCAACTCCAAGTGTAAGACCTTGCTCTGAGAATGAGCCATTGGGTCTGGCCACTTGGCAACTGCCTACCTCGTGGAAACAGCACCCAGGAAGCAGACAGGGACCACAGTGTGTCCGTAAAAGCCGTGAAGAGAACCAACAGCAAGTAATGGGTGCAGGGCCAGGGACATAGCTCAGTGGCACAGTGCCTGCCTGGCAAGTGCAAGGTTGTGGGTTCAACCCCCAGTGCCAAACAAACAAAGTAATGGAGGCAACATTTCTGGAATAGCAGAAGAGTGGCATTAAAAACAAACAGCACGGGTAGGAGCTGGGAAGATCCCGGCATGCAGGAGGCCAGAAGGAAAGAGCCAGTGTGGCCGGGCGTGGTGGCTCACGCCTGTAATCCCAGCACTCAGGAGGCTGAGGCAGGATCTTTCCAAGTTCAAGATCAGCCTGGGCTACAAAGTGAGCTCAAGGCCAGCCTGAACTGCATAACAAGACCCTGTCTCAAAAAGACAAAAAAAAAGAAAGGAAGAAAAAAATAAAACAAGGAAAGAGCCAGTGTAGACAGGCACTGACAGAAAGGCAGACAGGGCAATAAAATCATCAGCGTCTGAGGGGATGCTGCGAGGGATTCCCCCGGGTGGGAAGAAAATAACATTACAACGGCACCAGCAGATGGAGCACTACCAGGGCTCCCTGCCCTTAGCCCCAGCCCGTTCACTACCAGTCAAGAATGACAACTTCAGCTCCGCGCCCCAAGCTGCTGCCAGTCAGGTGCACAACAGACTCAGGGTGGGCTCTTCTTCAGACTGCTTCCTCCACCTCCCCTCCCACATTCCTGGCAGGTCCCTGAGATTAGCTGAGCTACACCTCCCTATTCTAGGGCAGCACGACTAGAACAGCCTGAAATAAAACCTCATCCAAAGTGTGATCCAAGACACTATTCTAAGGTACCCCGGGGGAGCCCACTGGATTTCTTTCATCTTTTTTTTTTTTTTAAATGTTTTATCAGTAATGGGGATCGAACTCATGACCACCTGCTTGCAAGGCAGGTGCTTATGCGGCTAAGCTAAAGTCCTTGGATTTCTTAAATTTAATGGTCCTTGGTATGGGATGGCAGGAGAATTTTTACTAATTATCCTTGGCATCTTAGGTGAAAGGATCATTGAGATTAAGGTAAAATGGGCAGACAGTGCAGTTAAGTTTCTAAATATAAATCCATTTTATTTTAGCCAATAAATGCTAAATAGAGTTTGTGGGAAACCTGTTTCATGAAAGCCCTTTGAAAAAAATCCAGACCAAAACCTTCCTATGTTTTCTTGTCTAAAGTATGAATCTGCCCTTTTAAAAGAGGTTCCTACTTCTTTTTTTTTTTGGTACTGGGATCGAACTCACAACTTGGCGCTTGTCAGGCAGGTACTTATGCTGCTGAGCTAAATCCCCAGCCAAAAGGTTCCTATTTCAACAAGCACAGCCACACCTGTCAAAATTCTGATGGGAACGGAGGCTCCGCTTACACAAACCTCAGGCTTGGTTTCGGGCTCAGTGCTACCACAGGGAAGTGGATGCGCTTTGTCTCCAGTGATAGGAAATCAGAAGAAGGTGAAGAACGTATGCTAAGTGGCTTAGACTTGCAGGCAATAAAGCACCTTTAACCTGCCGCTCGGGGCTGCTGCTGAAGCCTCTGCAGAGAATCATGCGCTCTCAGGAGCCTCTGCCCTCCAGTACTTCTCCGTCTTCCACACCCTGGCAGACCGCAGGCACCTCTGCTTGCGGCCTCCTACAGCTGCAGACATAAACAGTGCAGAGCGCAGTGCTATGGTCAAGGGCTAACTTTACTACACAGCCACACAGCCAAGGTCAGGGGAGACTGGACAGCAGTGTAGCTTGCCCAGGCCTGGGGTGTCCCTTCAGTCACAGCCGCGTTTCCACACGCTCCCTCAGCTCACACGTGGAGGAGGAAAGGATGGATGGAACACGTCAGCATAAATACGGAGAACACAGAAGAACACCACCACCAAAGTGCAGGTGCAAAACCCAAAGCAATGGCCACCGCTTCTGCCAGACTTGCCATCACACCCTACTGAGGTCACATTGCTTTTTTCTTCATTTTTCTTGATTCAGAAACAAATCAGCAGGGAGGACAAGGTTCTTGTAGTTACAAATCAAAGCTGAAATGAGAGGAACAAAGTCCACCGGTTATGTTTATCTTTTTATAGAGAATATGCCACCATACAGTTGACCTTATAGCAGCTGCAGTGGAAGAAGAGATCCAGGGGGGCTGGGGATTTAGCTCAGCGGCATAAGCGCCTGCCTTGCAAGCAGGCAGTCGTGAGTTCAATCCCCGGTACCGATAAAAAAGGAAAAAGGAAAAAGACAAAAAAAAAAAAAAAAAAAAAAAGAAGAGATCCAGGGTTCAGACAATCTGATCCCTCACTGTAAGACAGCAATTCACAGGAATGAGGGCTGGAGATGCAGGATTAGCTTTATTTTTACTTTTTTGGTGGCACTGGGCTTATACCTAGGGTCTAGCAATAGGCAAGCACTGTTATCATTAGCTACACCCCCAGTCCTTTACTTAAAATTTTTTATTTTGAAGGGACTGGGGATATAGCTCAGTAGCACAGCACTTGCTTGGTAAGTGTAAGTTCATGAGTTCAATCCCTGGTACCAAAAAATTTTGTTTTATTTTGAGACAGGGTCTCCTTAAGTTGCCCAGGAGGACTTGCACATGTGAGCCTCTACTCTGTTTCTGGAGTAGCTGAGCTCATAAGTATGCACCACCTCAGGATGACTCTTTCTGGGTGTGGTGATACACATGCCTGTAACCCCAGCACTCAGGATGAGGCAGGAGGATCCCTGTGAGTTTGAGGCCAGCCTGGCCTACATAGGAAAATCTTGTCTCCAAAATTGAAAAACAGAAAACAATAATGAGTCTTACAGTCAGTATGAAAACAAAACATACACTAGAGAGAAATATACTTGGCAGAGGAAATATGAACTCCTGCCCTCTGCTTTCTATTCTCATGTACTATTTTAAAATAGTAAACTATCTTGTTTCCAGCGGGGTTGGGGAGCCATTATGATGAATGAAAAAAATCTCTAATATCAGTTATCAGGGACAGTAGTGAGCTGATTATGAAGCTGACCTATCGGCTAGTTAGTGAAGATATTCTGAGCAAAGTGGCCGGTTTTCTAACTCGTATGAGTTGCACGAATGAGCTGTGTCCCCTGCAGGAAGTTCAGAACAGTTCACGGCTGGCCACTGGCTGGCCACTGACTGTTCGTTACCAATACCCTCCCTGTTGCTGAACAGAAGGGAGCAGGAAAGGTGCCTGTGGGCACCTGCCCTAAAGGGAGTGCCGACTTCCTGCCCTGCCAAGTCTGTGCCACTCCTCCCCGAGCTGTGCTCAGCTCCGGAGGGAGGGCTGCTCTCCCTGACACAGACAAACTGGCCATCCTCAGGAGGCGTAGCCCAGGGCTGGATGCAGGGCCTGATCCAGGCAGCAGGAGGCCTGTGTGCTCTGGACTCCCCTGAGGAGCTCTGCCACCTGAAGTGTGGCTCCAGCAGTGGTCTTCTGGGAGCTTCCTAGAAATGTAGCTACACTGGCTGCACCCCACATGTAGTAAATCTGATTTTACTTTTTATCCCATTTCCCAAGCTGACTCATATGCCTATTAAAAGCTTGTCCAGCAAAAAGCCTAGGCCTTTGTGTCTAGGGAGTGGCTATCCAGTCCTAATTTTGAATGGAAATCTAGGAAGGAAATGACAGCATTTTGGGGCAGGCCTGTCCCTCAAGGGAAGGAGCTGTAGTAAGTAAAGATGTCTTCTAGCTCTAACTTTGGCGACACATATATAGTATGTGGATGGTTCTAGTTTGTAGTCTAGAAAGGGTGGGAGGGCATGACGGTAGCACCCCCAGATTTAACTGCTGCTGCCACACCAAACGCCAGTCTGCTCCTGTGCCTGTTTGTTGCACATCCTCCTGGGAACAAGGCTCCTTCCTTACCTTTAGGTTCAAACGCTGGTAATCGCTGGCTTTTGGTCGCCGAGTGACTTTGGACCTTTTTCCTTCCAAGGCAAAAGCAATAATCTGGAAAAAGCAAAAAGAAAAGGATTAAAGGGTGGCTCTGTAATGACGTATTTCAGTCTCTGAAATCAGAGGCTCACCTGGCAGGACATTTGTTAATGACCTTGGTTGAAGAAATAGGAGGACGCCCACAGAGAGGCCTAAACCCTGTGTGTGTGGTGCTGGGGATCACATGCTAGCCAAGTGCCCTACCAGGCGGGGCTCAATGTTACGGCACCCTACTAACATCCTAGAGCCCTTGAGTTCAATCCTCCTGCCACACACACAAACTGTAATGGGAATGGGGCCTAATCACATCAGAATGTTGCTTAATAAGAAATGACAAATGGAAGCAAGGTATGCTGGATGAATTTGTTTCATCTGATCTAGGATACTCAGCGAGCTGCCAAACTCCCTAGAGGCTGTCAGCATGTCATTTTTTAAAAAAAGCATGATCTGTAATTGTTTCTTATCTACAAAGGCACTCCTTGGTCCCTTAGCTTTATCAACTGCTTTTTTGGGGGGGGTGCTGGGATTAAACCCAAGGAATCATACCTTCTAAGCAAGTACTCTACCACTGAGCTACATCACCAAGGTTTTGTTTTTTGTTTTTTTTTCCCCCCTAAGAGTTTTTGTGGGGTTTTTTTTTTTTTTTTTTTTTTTTTTTGGTGTCTTTTTCATTTTTATCGGTACCGGGGATCAAACTCACAACCGCCAGCTTGCAAGGCAGGTGCTTATGCCACTGAGCTAAATCCCCAGCCCCAAGGGTTTTTTTGTTTCTAAATTTTGAGACAGTCTTATTAACTTATCTCATCCTGTCTCAGCCTTCTGAACAGACATGACCCATCACACCTGGCCATTAATGCACTCTTAACTTCATCACTCTCATTATGAACACTTGGAGAATAAAGAAGCCACATTTTCACCAATAGTCTGCCCTCTTTCTTTACAGCCTTAGGCCTGACAGCCATCGTGAACTGAACTCTCCAGTTTTAACCAAGCTGCTGAACCAATGTTCTAAAATCGGAGGGCTCAGTTAGAAAATGCAATCGTTTAGAGTGGTCCTAAGGGACAGAATATCACTTTACATCACATGTTGTTAAAGAAATAAAAAATGTATGAGCCCAGTATGGCAGCACATGCCTGTAATTCCAGTACTCTGGGAGACTTCAGCAGAAGAATTGCAGGTTTGAGCCCAGTCTAGACAACCAAACATTGTAGCAAGCCCCTGTCTCAAAATAAAAATCTAAAAAAGGATGAGGATGTACCTCAGTGTGAAAGTAAAAGTTCAATCCCTAATAAGGCCAAGGAAAAAAGGCTTCCGCAATTTCTGCTTTCTTCTAATTCTCATCGATTGCAGAAGAGGACTCTCGGGCTCTTTGCTGTTCTTATTTAAGTGACACTGCTCTTTCTGCCAATACAGGTGGAAAATAGATTAGGAAACTGGAAATAATATGCTATGTCAAGCATGAAAAATGGGACAAGAAGAGCTCCATGTATCAAGTACTCAGGTCCACTGAGGCTGTGAAGGTCCCAAGTTCAAGGATTGGGGAGATCCCTTTTAGGTCAGGTCATAACAATGTCCTAATTTGGCACCTAATGCAGTAACACTAAAGAGGAAACGGATCACAGGAAGAAAACACGTGATTTACAAGAACAAAGAGCCCTAGTGGGGTTTATCTTAAAATCCTCAGCACTCACCGCAACTGAGTGTTAGATACTTGCCCACACATTTTCAGGGTGGAGGAAATTCTCTATGGCTATGGCTGACTTACCTTCCGCTTGTTGTGATAGGCGATATAGAGGACAGCGACAAGAATGGCTGCCGTCACCAGATATGCAAAGAAATGGCTGCTCTCTGCATTTTCAGGATTTTCTGAATTTTTCTTATTAAGTCCATCCTTGTCCTTATTCATGGAATCCAAAGGTGTCCCTTCCCGGTTTTCCCTGGAAGCAGGCTCTGACACTTTTTCTTTCCCTTCTTCAGGAGGCGATCCCTCCTCTGGTTCTGCATCATCACTCTCTTCAGCCTCCTTGGGCTCCACATCCTGAATAGCCTCTGAATACTTGTCTTCTCCCTCTGGCCCGGGAGCCGTGAGGTCAGGGATCACTGTCACTTCAGTCTTAGACACAGGTGGTAGTTTTTCAACCGCGGTTCCCTTGTTACCAGAGGGGGAATTGGATATGGGCTTGGAGCCTTCTTGTGCGGGCTGCTGCTCTAAGAGCGACTTGTTTCCTTCTGGGGTCAAGTGTTGCTCCGCCTCCAACTTGTCAGGGTTTGGTTCCCGGAGCTGCGGCGCCTCTGACTTGTGAAGGTCCGGTTTCTGTGAGTTCTGCTGCGTTTCCCCCTTTTCAGTATGTGGTTTCAGGATCTGGTGATGCACGTTGGACCCGTCTTTTTCTTCCTTCCCGGAATGCTGGTTCGACTCCGAAAAGAGGTGTGGATCTTTCGGAACAGACGGCTGGATCCCGGGGGAAGGGCAGCAGTCGCTGTTGTTTGTAGAAGGCTGAAGTGCAGCCGACTGGTTCCTGTCTTCGGAGCTCTGATTTAGCTGTGGCTGCTCTGAGGGCAGCAAGGCTACAGAAACAGAAAAACCATTAAGGACTGTGGAGGGCAGACCAGGAGAAGAGCAGAGGATTCCTTAGCGCTGAAGGGACCGAGGGCGACGGGAGAACCCGGGGAAGAGGAGCAGGAGCTATAGCAAGCGGAGGAGTGCGCACGGCAGAGGAAAAGCAAGGGCAGGTGGTGACTGGAGGTGTGAATGAAGGTGAAGGGCCTGGGGACAAGAGTGGGATGGGCAGTGGAGGGGGGGTCTCACCCGCCGCTGCGACACTCAGCAGGAGCGACGCAACCAGGAACCGCATCCTGTACAGACTGCGTTTCCGCTGCCCACTGCTCTCGCGAGAGCCCCGCGCAGAATGCCGCTCGAAGCCCCGCCCCTTCCGGTGTGCGCCTACGGCGGCGCCTGCGAGTAGCGCTGATGCGCTACGCGACGGACGTCTGTCTCGGTTGCGTCGTTGGCGTTGCGGCAGCTACTGACTTGCTGCCCCTTTTTTTCTCACTCTTCGCACTTCTGGAAGGTTCGTGGAGTGCAGGACTCGCATCCGTTCCCAGTTCGCCCGGAAGTCTGACCTCACCCCTTCATGTGCCTTCCGCACAGCGCCCCAGAACCCTCTTATGTTCAAGCCTTTCCCGTCTAAAAACAGACTCTTCGCCGTCTTCGTAGCGGCAGTGCGTAGCGGCGCTCCTTCCCAATCCGGTGGAAATAGGTCGCCAAAGATCACTTCTAAAAAGTGCTTTCCCTGGCCGAGCATGAAAATCTTAAGAAAACAAAGCCTTACAGAATAGTCACTGTTAGTATGTCAGTATATTTTCCACCCTGCAAACATTTAAACATTCTTAATGGTTCAAAAGTCAAAACGTGACTTTAGAAGACGCATACATTAGAAAATTTTTGCCTACTACCCATGTCCAGCTTACCATTTGTATTAGTTTATTGTGTGTGTGTGTGTGTGTGTGTGTGTGTGTGTGTGTTTTCTGGTGTATATGTGTGCGCTAGGAATGGAACCCAGGGCCCGTTGTCCCACACGGATTTTGTTTTGATTTTAAAAACAAATAACTACTCATTTTCTTTTCCTTTTTAGTGTTTTTTTTTTTTTTTCCTGCAAGTTTGTTTTCTCCCTCAGTCGAGCTGAGGTGGTTTTTGTATGCCATCCCATTGTTACACTCTACTACTTGAATTTTTTTTTTTGAGACTAAGTCTCACTATGTAATTCAGGATAGCCTTGAGCTCACTATGTAGCCCAAGCTGGCCTCATAGTGATGCTCCTGCCTTAACCAAGTGCTGGGGTGAAGGCACATGTCACCACGTCTGGCTTGAAATCATTTTGTGAACATTTGCCAGACTAAATGTTTTTTAGACAGTGATTTTTGAAATGACAGATTTTAGCTGTGCTCAGTAGCAAAAAAAAAATCTTATGTCCAAGATATTGGAGAGGTTAAGGCAAGAAGATGGCTTGAGCCTGGAAGTTTAGAGCCAACTTAGGCAACACAATAAGACCCTGTCTCAAAGGGGGGAAATGACAGGCTTTAACCTCACAAAGCATGTAATCTAGTGAGGCACATATATATTAAACAAAGTGTGTGCGTTTGGAAAATGCATGCATGCATTTCAAGGCCCCAAGAATGGAAAGTACATGTCAGTTGGGGAGAGGACCTTTGCAGCTAAGGGCTACAGGTTGTGGGTGAGGAGAACAGCAGGGCCTATGGGAAGTGTAGGAAGCTCAGGGCACACACAAAGTGACTTGGCCTTTCCCTGGGATAATATAGACAGTTCTTCACTTGTTCCCTGTGTGACCACCAACACATGATGTTTTGTTGAAGAGTAGATGTTTTTCCTGTTCTGGATCTTACCCTCTCCTAAAATTCTCTGTAAACAGCTTCCTATGCTGCAGTTGTTGGGCAGTCAGGTGAGGGACCCCATCTGACCTCAGCTTTCTGCGTTCTGACTTTTCCTTTCTTCATCCTCCTCCTCTGGAGTCTCACGAGCTGCTCTGGATGCCAAAAATGTTCGCATTCCTTGGGTGGAGCTGGTGCGTGCACGAAACACATCTTAATTCCTTTTTCATCCCCTTTTCCTTTCCTCCCGCTCCATCTTTTGTTTTTGAATGCCCAATATTAGTATATTTGATGAACATATTTAATTATATTAAAAGACACAATTTAGAATGTTGATTGTAAAGACTGTTTGAGAACAAGACGTCCAATCAGTGCCTCACACATTGTACGTACCATTAAATCACCTCAGCCAGGATGCACATGTGTGGCACTTCCCAGCTTTGTTTATTGATAATATTTTCAAACTGTGCAAGCATTATGCACCATATGGAATCCCAAAACATTTGAACAAGTCCTCGTGTCCTTGGAGCAGGGTAAAAAAGTTTTTTAGGACATGAGTTTTTAAAAGATAATTTGTTCTTGGCTTTCAGTTCAGATTGATGCTGAACCGTGATAAAAATCATTTTATAATTTAAAATCATGCTTTGCAGAGAGACCTCTATTGTTGGATAATGTTCAAACCTCGTAATAGCCTAGTAATAGTCTTCTCTTGAAAGCAATAACCTGGGTCTGGGGATTTAGCTCAGTGGCATAAACACCTGCCTTGCAAGCAGGCGGTTGTGAGTTTGATCCCTGGTACCGATAAAAATGAAAAAGACAAAAAGAGAGCAATAACCTGCTTTGCTCGTGATTCTTCAGTTGCTCTGGGTTGAGGTCAGGTACAAACTCTTATCATACATCATGTGCCAAAGGGCACGGCCCAGGACAGGGACTGGAGGCAGGCTAGTCTCCTGGAAGGGTCCACTCTCTACCTGGCTGGATAGTTCCTCAGGTTCTAGGAGGGATCCCCATGTTTTCATAGGTGTGTCTGTTACAACTCCTGCTTTTGCTGCTTCTGTTCCTGAGCACAATTGGTCGACCCCATCTCTTCACACACACACACACATTACTAAAGAGAATAAGATTTTTCTTTTCGTTTTTTGTCTTTTTCCTTTTTATCGGTACCAGGGATCGAACTCACGACTGCCTGCTTGCAAGGCAGGCGTTTATGCCGCTGAGCTAAATCCCCAGCCCCAAGAATAAGATTTTTCAACTGGGCATGATGGCACACGCATGTAATCCAGCACTTGGGAGGCTTAGGCCAGCCGGGACTCCACAGTAAATTCAAAGCTGTCCTGAGTTACATAATGAGAGAGACAGAGACAGAGAGACAGACAGAGACAGAGACAAACAGAGACAGAGACAGAGACAGAGACAGAGACAGAGACAGAGAGACAGAGAATAAGATTTCTGACCACATTGCTTCAGGCCTACAGGTTTAGCTCTGTGGTAGAGTGCTTCCCACTCCAGCACCACAAAAGACATCAAAATATTTCAGAATGTTAACAGGAAGTGAATTAGCAAATGAACTTGTTTCTAAAAGAAGAAGATTCTCTATACCTGCCTTCAGTGAATGTTTAACTAGCTGTTAAGGACATGGGGCTTAGTGAGGGTGTGTGTGGTGGGGAGAACAAAGGCAAATTGTTTGAGACTGACTTGTGTCCACATTACTAGGCAGGGGAGGTGAGGGCTCCAGATTGCACAGAGCTTCCGCACACTCCAGGATTTGTGGTTTAGCTTAGCAGTAATGACAAGCCATTAAACGGGGTTAGGCAGGGGTGAGATAGAAGCAGAGTTGGGGCTGTTTGGATACTACACTGGTTTTGTTGTAGAGAATCCACTGGGGTGAGGCTGGAAAAGTACATTTAGGAGTTAATCATTTAGGAGGGTGTTGCAATAGTCCACATTGGACTGGCACAGGGACAGCGAGCGTGGCAAGTGGTGGCCACCAAAGATAAGGTGGGAGGTGGGTGATCAGAGGAGGCCAGGTCCGCCAGGCAGGGCATAGGATGGGACCTTTTCCTGGAGCCAGGGAAGGCTGAGGACTGGGGTGTGCAGGAGGTGGACTAGCTGCTTTTCTGGCTGTCTTCATTCAGGATGAATGTGAGAGGGCCAAGGGAGGTGTCAGGGAAGTAATTAGACATTTGAGAATGAAGTTCAAAACACCATTGGTGGTGTTTCATAGACAGTAATTTATGAGTTTGTTTGTAATTGATGTGACAGAGACCACTAGCAAGAGGCTCCAGCAGGATTTAAATTAACCAATTGGCTTTCTAATGTGTACACGTGAGTCTGTCCCAGGCCTAAGCCCCTTGTCTGGAGATGGGCAGTGGATTCATAGTAAGTGAACCGCTATGAATCACTGGTCCTGGGTAAGGCCTGTAGTGGCCTGTGATGCCACAAACTCCTCGAAGGACAGGATAAGGCCGAAGCTGAGGATGCCTGGCTCCCATCCCAATGAGCTAGACAGAGACTGCAGCTGCAGGCATCTCACTCCTGCAACAAATGTCAACCTAGAGAAAAGATAGTTGGCCCAAATTAGCATAGTTTATTACTTGGAGAAGTCTCTGAACTGACTCCTAAGGTCCTGCTCAGTTCCTGTGCTTTCCTCAGTATCCCCTTCCTTTGTTTGAAAACCAAATAAATATAAGCTGTCCAGAGAAGTTCTTTATTTCAGTCTCAAGGGAATCTCGAATTCTGCTAGAGGGTTTTGATCCTCCTGAAGTCCTGAAATCATATCACTCGTCTCGCTTTTATTTAAGCCTTTGCCACTTTTTTGGGAGGTTGCAGGCCTGATCGTTCCAAGATACTGATTTTTTTTTAACTATTGGACATCTGGACTTCAATTTCCAGTTGATAACTGTTATCAGGTACTGGTGAAGCAGCTGCTCAAAAGACTGACCAATTTGTTCAGGGTCAGGTTATTTTGTTACCGTCTTTGAAAGCAGAGATTTTTTTTTTGAGACAGGGTCACACTGTATTTGTCTGGATTAGTTGATTTTAATCTCTTGGGCTCAAGAGATCCTCTTGCCAGCCAGATATGTTGGTGCACACTTATAATCCCAGCACTTGGGAGACTGAGGCAGGAAGATTCTTATGAGTTGGAGGCCGGCTGGATATGCAGGGAGTTCAAGGCCAGCCTGGTGTACATAGTGAAGCCTGTCTCAAAAATAAAACGAAACAGAAAAAGTCCCTGTGCTTCTGCTAGGACTGTAGGCAAACACCACAGCATACAGCTAGCAGTGAGCATTCTATTCTTTGAGGTTTTTTGTTTTTTTTTTTAATCAGTACGGGGGATCAAACTCACGACCTTGCAAGGCAGGTGCTTATGCTGCTGAGCTAAATTCCCAGCCCAAGCATTCTATTCTTTTTTTTTTTTTTTTTAACTTCTTATCGGTACCAGGGATCAAACTCACGACTGCCTGCTTGCAAGGCAGGAAGCATTCTATTCTTAATCCACCAAATTAACAGAAGGAAAATAATCCCTGACTGTGATTATTTTTTTGTGATCCCCTAACATGTACTGCAAAAATAATTCGCATGACCATGGGCAGTTTATTTAATTGCTTTAAATATTAGTTTCATTATGAAACGGGGATCAAAATTTTGAGAATTAGATAATTCATATGAAGTATAGTATTTAATA